CGATTAAAAGACCTGGGGTGCTGCACAGGGAGGGAGAGAGGGGGCCCCCTGGCGGCCTCGGGGCACCAAGCAGTCGCCTGGCTCGCCTGCGCCCGTAGCCGGCCCTGGGCTGTGGATTCGGCATACATGCGCCGTCATAAAAGCTGGCCCGCAGCACTAGAGTGCCTGCATCGGCTCCGCTCGCCTCTCAGGCCCGTGTCGACGCGATTGAGCCCTCGCTGCGTGGCGGAGAGGGGCCGCAGGACCGCCGGTGCCCCCCGCCCCCCCCGCACAAGTGGTTCCCAGGCTTGTTTACAGGGTGAGGAGGAGGAGGAGGAGGAAGGGGGGCTTTCCTGCCGTGACGTCAGAGGGTTCGTGTCGCTGGAGCTCAGACCCCAGAAATACTCCCCCTGCGTGGTGTTGTAAAAATACAACAGCAAAGTTTCTCTCCGGCCATGGACAACGCGGAGAGCCGAGACATGAAAACCGCGAACAGACGAGAACGCCAGGCAGGTAACGCGTTTTCATTGTTTTTTTTTTTGTGTGTGTGTAACTTTTAAATGCATTTTGCCTTCATTCTTGAGCATTTCTTCTTGTGCTGTGTATTTCATATTTGCCCAAGAGGTCTAGGTGTGCGACGCCTCCGGTCTATATATATATATCCAGCACGCATAGAGAGTGCGCGATCTGAAGACCCCCTCTCCTCCCTTTCTTTAGTTTTTCTGTACAGTACAGCCTTCTGGTTCAAAATGTTTGGGAAAAGACGTCCGTGTGTAAAACGTGGAGAGATCAGATAACGGAATAGTGCAGAATCCAGTTCGAAGAGAAGAAAAAAACACACGAAAGGGGATTTCGGTTATTTTATTTCTATACACAGCAACCTCTTTCAGAGGAGAGGTATTCCAGCGTGAAATCCCTAATCACGCAGCAGCTGGGACGATCTTGGGCTCCTGTGTACTGCTGTACGGTCTTCATAGATCCGTGCTCTCCGGGCTGGGGCGTGTCCCTGCATCGGGGGCGCTACAGCGGGTCTCGGAGGACACCAGGAGTCGGTGTTTCAGCTCTTCTGTAAAAACTAACGAGTCAGATCATCTTGAGTTGTAAACAGTGCTCTTGATAGCTTCGCGGATACACTGTTTCTTACGCATGGAAGTGCCGCACTACACAGGATGAATACAATAAATACGAATATCGATTTTGGTTGGACCGTGAAGCCTCTGACCCGACGTATCGATTTTTGAAAGGGATTGTAACGGGTCGTGGAGACAGGTCTCGGCCTGGACAGAAACCTTTCTAAGCCGGGGCGCGGAGAAAAATCGACCTTTTTATTCCGAGCTCTGGGGACAAGCAAAAAAAAAACAAAAAACAGCAGTGTTATTAAAAGATATGATAAAATCAGAAGCTTTGAAAGCACAGGAAATTGTAATATTTGGTCATGCCTCTAGACTTGTGGAGACTCTTGAACGTGAGCAGAGGTCGGTGGTTATCCGTACAGCTCTCAATCCGAATCAGCGATTTCTTTTCCTTTAATATGTTACCTAGTTATTCCGAAGTTAATTTAACACTCTACCCACCTTCCCAGCTCATCATTTTCAGTCGTTTCTCCAGTACTGCTCCAACGCCCCGCGCATTGTCACGTCTGAATTAAACGCTGACCGCTGACCGCTTTTCAGCTGGACACGCGAAAGTCGCTTGGATTTGCTGAATGCAAACGTATGTATTTATATTAAAATGCACAGCAGATACTTTTTCGTACAAGGGGCTCGGGAAATCCATACCAAAATCACCTACAGGTTACCATAGAAATGTCCCAGTTCTATAAACTTGTAGGTTTCTGTACAGAACTGGGACATTTGTGAAGAAACCTATACGTCATGTGTATGGGATACAGGTGATGGTGGTGCTCGTAATTAAATGCTAAAGGCTCAGATCCTCAGGGTCTTCATAAGTAATAAGTATGTTTGGGAGAAATTTATGTTATGAGTTAATGTATTACTTTACTTGACATAGCATGGATCACGGCGACCTGTGATTTTTTTTTTAAACGTACTTTTCCCCCCGACCTTCTTTGGCGTTTTCAGAAGTAATCCCTGACGCAAGTAGCTTGTGACTGTAACGGATTACTCTTGTAAACATATTTTCACAAACGCTGATCCTGCGCTAACGCTTTTGCTGAAATCAAACGGGGGAACCTGTGCAAATCACGCGTCGCGGAGAACCCGTCACTAGTTTCAAATGCTCCATGTCGGGTTTTAAAACAGTGTTCACGGGCCAGACACGAGGCGCTGGTATGCTCTGGTCTGTGCTGTATTCCCATAGTATTGTTTGCATTTGTACATTACTGGGAGTTCTGATGCGGGATACAGTGTAGATCGCAACCCTGTTCCGAGCTAGTTTGCGTGGGTTACTGGCCCGCTGTGATGTCAGAGGCACACCGTTACATCACAACACATTCTTCTTGTTTTAATAATAGTTTCCTTCGTTTGCTACAAGATGATAACGGTTTAAAAAAATGTAAAGAGAGCACCAGATGATGGAACAACAAGCATAACACTTGTGGTTAATAGTAATATCATTAATTGTCATCTTTATTGTATGTAACCGTTTCTCGGAAAAAACATCCTAAAAGACTTTTCAAGAATAGAAACAATGAATGCATATAAGTAATAAAATTAGGGAAGGAAATCACAAGTGTCTTGTGTCCTTTGGAAGACTATCCCAGTCTAGTCTGAAATGAGGGAATGCATGATCGCCCAATAGCTATCGTGTCATTTTTGATACCAAAAGCATGCAAAATAACTGTACTGTGAAGTCATTTAAATTTGATTGCTATATGACATTAGGGTGTTCACAAGGTTTTTGAGACTACTGTGTACTCTGCCTACAATCATGCATGAACATGTACTTTTAGCTACAGTACGTGGTAATTTGGGGTTTTTTTATTGCAAAGGCTTTGTGCTGATGATTAAAAATGCAATTAAGTGATCACAAATCCATTGAGATATAGAGAAAAATAAACGTGGGTCAACATCTGTATAAGTGCCCGTGGGTAATCCTACTATATGAGATGTGAACTTGTAGATGATGTCTTTAATGGCACAGTGTATTCATGGAATATCCAGTCAGTAGCTGCTCCTCCTGCCCTGTGCTGTCCCAGACACACTGTGTCTGTCTTAAACGTGTGAATTCTGTCTGTAGGCTCACCACGGTTCACACAAGCCGATTTCGAAAAAGGTAGGCCTGCCAAGCAGTGAACTCCAGTGCATGTTAAAGGGGAACTGAAGTCCCAGTTTCTCAGACTGGCTATTATACCCTGGTAACAGAATAGATTCATTGATGGAATCGCGCCATTCACAAATTCTGGATCAAGCACAAAATCGTGAACGTTGTGAAAGCACTATAGGGTCTCCGTGACTCCTTGTCTCGGCACTAGCGAGAGCGAGAGTTGTGAGAATTGTGACTTCCGTCCCTTCCTGCTCACTAGTCCCTGTACTGACTCATGTACTGTGATGTACAAGCGAATCAGCACAGGTTGTGCCGCAGAGGTTTCACTGTGGAATGTTCCAATGTGATCTGCATGCAGAGTTAACAAGTAACGAGTGTTTGATGGCAAATCCGTCTCGGAAGTCGAGAGCAATGTATCTATTGGATTAGAAGAGATGTGTTCACATGCCTGCTTATTTACAGTTTAACAGGGCCGCTTCACCTCGCCAGAAGTTTTGTTGCCTCGTTATGAATTGCAGAACAGGGCGCTGCGCATACCTGGAAATGTAGTCTTTTTTGTGATGTAAATTGGAGGTTTCACACATTACTGTGTACATTTTACTTTCACTGAAAATCATTCATTCACAAATGCAAATTCTTTCTTGCACCACAATCTAAAAATAGCATTGTAGTTCCCCTTTAGGTGAATCAAGGTCTTGCCAGATGGTGGCATCTAGAAAGAATTAGATCATTGTTGTAAACTGTCCATAACCTAAATAAATACCTGGAGCTATGAAATAGTTTTTATAGGACTGAAATGAAATTAACCCCTGTGGCTCAGCTCCTATTATGAGTCCAGCAGCTATTCGAGGTATAAAATACCACCTAGATTGTGATCAGTGACTCTAAATATATTATGGAGGATTTTTCAAGTACCTTCCAACTGAGATCTTTCAGAGGTTTATTAGTTATTATTAATTAGCCCTGTTTAGAATCCATTCCACATTGACCTGATAGCAAATGACCTCTGCACGTTTCCACAGTAGGGCCACAAGTGCTCTTGTTAGCAGCAAGACAGCCAAGTACAGCAGCAGGTCAGATGGCCCTTCCTCCAGCTGGGCACTCGGACAGGGTCAGTTCAAAGCTGGGGAACGGCAGGCCGGCGAGTGCTTTGCAGCGGTGCATGGTCTGGAGAAACGCGTCTTGAGGACATGTGACGTGGGAGCATGACCAAAGCGCTTAGCTGAGGGCACCCACTCAGTTTCTGCAGGGCGGAGGTGGGAATGCATCGCTTTGGCTGACAGCCGCCGTATTGTCAGCTTGTCATCTGAGCTCAGAGATCAGATGCTGAGTGTTTGTTCGTGGCAGCTGATGAATTTCCTTTGTTCCCGGCAGCACTCGAAGAAGCCGACAACAGTATCGGTGTCTGTGGGTGGATCTTGGTGTTATTCTCCATTCTGCTGACACTGGTCACTCTTCCCATCTCCATATGGATGTGCATCAAGGTGAGGCGGTCAGCTCAGGCGGCCCGTCGGGCAAGAACATTCCACATTTCCACGCTCGGCGAGTTAAAGCAGTCTCCCGGGTTGTTCTGGTTTTGTGGTGCTGTAGTATCCACATGACCGAGGTGAGCTTGGCTTCGTGAGGAAGAGAGCTTGTACAGAAATGGAGTTGCTTCTGCTGCCCCTAAGGGAATTCGACTTGCACATCAAGAGCTCTTAAATATAGGACGTACATGACAATAATAAAATACATACAAGAGAACAATACCATAATACCAAACAACATTCAACACCACTGCTCAATAAGAGCTCTTCAGAACTCGAACTGTCATGTTATGCCACGTGGAAGTGTCTTTTGCAGGGACGTGACTCAAAAGCTTCAGAATTCCTTGCGCCAAGGGGTCGCTCTCATTTGAACGATACTACCTGCAAAGAAAGAACTTGCAGGGGAAGTGGTAACAGGTCTCCTGTGAAAGTATTGGTAGTAGGATTTGCAAAGTAGACTATGATCTGATGATGTTAAAATCATAGACTGCTTTGCAAATCCTACATCCAATACTTTCACAGAAGACTTAACTGTTGCCACTTCCTACAGAAAGTCCTCTGCAGTTTGTGACATCAGAACATTGGCTTTTGTGTTTGCTTTTCTCATTAAAACCAGTCTTACCCTAAACACACACAGCTCATCGTGATGGAGAAGCTGTAGTGGTCGTGTGCTGACTCTGCGTGTGCGCTTGTATCTCTGCGCAGATTGTGAAGGAGTATGAACGGGCCATCATTTTTCGACTTGGGCGTATCCTGAAAGGTGGTGCCAAAGGACCAGGTGGGTCACTAAGCTCTGCCTCTCAAGAGACTGCATCATAGTTGCAATGTTCTCGTTTACGCTTGATCACATTGTGATACTGTGTGCTTCAAATGTGCGTTTTTACACATTCGCATTAATTTCCTCTGTCCTCGGAGACATCTTCTCTCTCTTGTGAAATGTCATCAGAGCAAGCTCAGAGGAACAGGACCAGGTCAAGTCAGAGCTTAAGACAACCTGGTAGCTAAGCTCACCCGTTCTCTTACCAAAGGTAACAAAAGCAAAGAGCAGCATCCATTTCCTCTGCTCTTCTGTGGTATGGGAGTGTTGTTTCAGATCGGGCTTTAAGCGAACTGCTGTGGAATCTGTGGGAGGGTCTGTGAAGTGAGTTCCTGTTGTCTGCGGTCGCTGCTGCTTTAGCTCAGTAGGTAAAGCAGTAGTGCACTGGAAACCGCCCACGTCTGTGTCAGGCCCTGCCCCGCCTCCTGCACCAGTCACTCATGGCCCTTGCCTTCCCCAAACCACATCAGAGCAGCCACGAATCGGACACCATTCTGCGCTTCGTGCCTCTGTTTTCTGCTAACAGAAATATGTGCAATCCAGTGAAAAGACTCCGCAGGTCTGCAGGACTCGGAGAGTCCCTGAATTACACAAAAAGGTCTTCTTCTTATCCTTCACTGCAAATACGAATGCTTCCTAGATTGTTTCTGACTTGCTCAAGTGGATGCCGTTCTGATCACTTTTTGTAGTCCAGTTTTCCTTGGGATGTCCACGAGGCTTTCCCAGCAGCTTTGTTTGTCTTTTTTCACATTTAGAATCGCTAATCACGTTTCTTATTCTGGCGTGATTGAGAGTATACCCTTGCACGTGCACAAGGCTTTAAGAAGCTGAGCTCAGGGCCACACCATTATGGTCTGAGCCACTCAGGATGTCCTCAAAGGTTTTGTACAGAGCAAGATACGTACAAGATTAAATAGAATCGGTTGCAACGTAATTAGCCTAGCTCACCCATTATGACATTTATATCATTTGCCCTGATGAATAAAACAGATCAATATGTTAAAACAGTGTTTCCCAACCCATTCCATTCCCATTCAGCTCATTCCGTCTGAGCGCTTTCATGTAAGAAATCCTTAAGTAACTCGTCCGGGAGTTTTATAAGTTTCGTTTTTGCTCGCAAACTGGAAGTTGTAAGTTCTGGAGCACAACAGTGGTATGGCAGATGGCGACATGCTGAGGAACTGAAAGCGATTAAGGGGTTCAGCAAAGACCTGGAGCATGAGCTGACCGAGCACAAGTGCTTTTCATTAGTGTAGCCCAGCTCCCTGCTAGGAGCCCCTTCAGGGAGAGACTGAGCACGAAAACAACAGGAAGAGAAGAGGGCAGATGCCAGGAAAGGCTGGCAACCTCTGATACTGGAAGACTGAAGTCTGGAATCAGGAAGGTTGTTTAGCTACCAGGAGGTCTGCACACTCAGACGTTTGTGGTCAAATATTCACATGGCTTTGAAAATGCCTCTGAAGTTACCCGCCATGCACAAATAGTTTTTTAGTAAAACAACAAAACATTCATGCAGTAAAGCTGTACATCAGTCTCACAGCGTTAACAGTACCCCAGCATGCTTTGATGGACAGTATAATTGAGAACTGTACTGCTGTTGCCATAATACTGTAAGGCTCGTGCATTGAACACTCAGTTCCAAGAAAGAACTGACTTGCATACAAATGAAACAATAGCAGGCTGTCCAGGGCCTGAATGAAAAGACAAGGGGATACTCGGAAGAACTGGCTAATAATAGCGCTCGCCGGGAAACGAGATCAGCTTGCTCTCAGTGGGGGTTTGTTTAGAGGTTTCTAATGTTTCCTGACTGAGGTTGTCAGTGAAGGTTGTCAGTGAAATTGCTTTTTTTTATTACACTATTCTTTTTTATTTGAAGTTTTAATGGAAACAACTTTAAGCAATTCCAGTCCTAGAAGAAGCCCAGAAGCTCCCAGACCATAATAAAGCAGGAAGAAAATGCAACACTCATTTTTACATCAACAGCCCATTGAATACTGTATATAGCATACGTGATGTTATTTGCATTTTAGGTTTGCATAGTCTTGCCCCATGGGATAGCACAATCATGAGCTTAGATCACGTGATTTCAGACCGAGATCAGGACCTAAGTGTTGCACTTGGTTAAAATAGCCAAGTGTTGATTAAAGATCTGTGCAAACAGATGTCCAGGAACACATGATTCTGATGAATGTAAGAGCTGTGAAAGATACAGCCGCGTCCTGCTGGAGTAAAAAAGATGGACTGCTTGTCCAGAGAAACAAGGAAGAACAAGGCAGCTCTGTGAGGGACTGGCTCGGGGCCATCACATCACAGGACGCTAATCAGTGTGAGATACTGTAGCAGTGGCTACAGAAAGAGAAATCTCCTGAAAAATGAACCCATGCAGCAGCAGAATGACAGGAGATCTGTCCTGGAGAGGAAAACGACCTGTGTGCTCAAAGTCAGCTCACCGGGTTCTTCAGAAGCCAGAGTGAAACACCAAGCAGAGGACACAAGGGGAAACTGCCTGGAAGTGCATTTAACGCCGGAGACAGGAGGCACATCTTTACTCAAAGGGTGGTGGGAGTGTGGGCCATGGTGTTGAGGCTGATACCTTGGCTGCTTCCGAGAAACAGGTGGATAAGATCCTTGGCTCAATGAACAGGCTCATGTGCAGCCTTTCTTATGTGCTTATGAGAGAATGGGCGGAGCCATTTTTTCACAGATGACTGCACTTTGCCCTGGACAGCGCTGACAGAAGAGAACACGTACAGTATGAAGATGACAGGGTGAACATCATGCCGACTAGCTAGTTGTTTCAGCTCTGCCTGCTGGCCAGTCACACTGGAAGAGATGCAGAACAGTCTGAACCGAGATCAGTTACTTCAGTCTGTGCATCAGCACTGCCAGGAGTAATTCTCCACGTGATCCTACCTGATACTAACATCCTCAGTAAAGGTAATATATTTTTAATGTGATGTATTTAATTACTTAAGCCTGTCATGAAAAGAAAAGCAACATTAAATCTGTTGGACCCGATGTTTTCAATTTTGTATGGCTTATGCATTTTTGCAGTTACCAGTGCTGCTGTCTTCCACTGCTACGTTGTCTCTTGCTGCGTGTGTGAACCTTTGAGATCACAGTAGCTTTGAGGAAACGGCAGCACATTTTTCATTGGAGTGAAAAGCTTTGGAAACGACATTTTGTTGGCAGTGTGAGGATTCTCATGGGTAAAAATATTCCAGATTCAATACTTACCGGTCCTGTGCTGTCTCTGTCAGGTCTGTTCTTCATCTTGCCTTGCACTGACAGCTTCATCAACGTGGACATGCGCACCATCACCTTTGACATCCCCCCACAGGAGGTAAGCAGAACTCCTGCAGAAGGTTTTGAAGCAATCGAAAGAGAAAGGCAGTGTCTTCTAATGACACAAGCAGTCTGAGCTGTTCTTCTGCCTGTTTATGGTTTGTTTTCGCATTCCAAGCTGCAGCTGCGCTGAGTTTGGTCATTGCCAAGTCGCTTGTGTCTTTACTCAAGCAGCTCTGATCTTTCCTGAGGAGGCCGAGTGCAAACTGCTGAAGGGCCACTAGCACTACTGGTGCAGAGGCACTCACTGGAATTGTTTCCAGAACTGCATAAAATGAACTTAGTGAAAGTAACTATTCACACGCTGCATAGTTCACTGAAACGAACAAAGTTTCCCCCCCATCTTGTTCCGAGTTTTACAGTGAAATCCCTTACGTAAATAACCTGTAAGTGTAAAGACTCACTTTTACAAGAGTCTTTCCCCAGCGCTGACTGGGAGCAGTGCGCTGGGGGGAGAGGGGCAGCCGGCTGGCGCTGTGGACGTGTCCGGAAGTGTTTCAGCGGCGTCCCGGTGTCTCCGCCTGCCCCCGCTGCCCAGGTCTTGACCAAGGACTCGGTGACGGTGAGCGTGGACGGCGTGGTGTACTACCGGGTGCAGAACGCCACGCTGGCCGTGGCCAACATCACCAACGCCGACGCGGCCACCCGCCTGCTGGCGCAGACCACCCTGCGGAACGTGCTGGGCACCAAGAACCTGTCAGAGATCCTGTCCGACCGGGAGGAGATCGCGCACAGCATGCAGGTACGGAGCGAGGGGACCTGCCCCACGGCGGATCCCTTTCCATTCTCTGCACGGGCACCAGGTCCTGCTTTAAAAGACATCGTACCGCAAGGGAGCCAGTGACGGGCCTATTCCCTGCTGGACGGCGAAGAGAAGAAACATGTTTCGGCCGCAGAGCCTTGTTCGGGTGTCAAAGAAGGCTCCACAGCCTAAACGTTGCGTTTCTTTTCAGCAGGGAATAAACCCATTACTGGTTCCCTTGCTGCCTGCGCATGCTGACGCAGCTTCCTACTTGAATGATATTGTCTGCGCTGGCAGAGCCGTGCTGTCCAGGCCACAGTGAAGCGCTTTGAGCCCACACGGGCTTCTGTGTTGTGACCCAGTCACACTCTCGGGGTAGGCTCTGGGCATACTAGTTGGTTTTCATTTCAAGCAGCAGCGAAAAAGGTTGCACAGTGCTCTACAGTGGCCCATTGCTATTTGTACTCGTACATTGCTATTTGTAATGGCATGAAATGTGAGCGTCTTATCCGGCCAGCTAAGAATAGACGCAGCAGCTCCTGCTGGGAGTCGTGAGTGAAGAGCAGGGGCAGTTGTGCCAGTGTGCAGGGGGCTGCTCGGCGAGCTGTCTTTGATGTTTCCCCGCTGCCTCCCGGCAGTCCACCCTGGATGACGCCACGGACGACTGGGGCATCAAGGTGGAGCGCGTGGAGATCAAAGACGTCAAACTGCCGCTGCAGCTGCAGAGGGCCATGGCAGCCGAGGCCGAGGCCACCCGGGAGGCCCGGGCAAAGGTACCGTCGCCCCACACCGCCACCCAGGCGTGCTCTCGCTCCCAGGCTGAGAAACGGCGCCCCCCTAGTGACGGGCGCAGAAACTGCAAGAGGGGGCTGCCGTGCACTGCACTAGATTGGAGGAAGGACTCTGAGAGACAGGGATGCACAGCGGGCCGGATTAAGTTAAAGTGCCGTATACAAGATTAGATCAGACTGTGAGTGGATGTGCAGGCAGGGAAGGCTCCCCTCCCCCTCAGCAGTGAGTAGCCCCCCCGGGGGGAGGGGATCGGGCAGGATGAAGGTCAGCCTGAGCTGCCATGGAGGGGAGTTCAGGAATCTGCGTCCCCACCGAGCACCAGAAATAAACCCAGTGTCGTGGCAGGAGAGCAGGCAGGGCCTGTCCCCTGAGCTTTCCCTCCTCCCCGCTGCTTCCCAGGCCCGCGGTAGATCAGCTTGAGAGACGTGGCTCTCTCTGGGGGTCGAGACAGTGCAAACAGATCTGGGAAGTAAACAAACGCCCTCATTCCCACGAAGGAAACTGCCCCCCCCCTTCTACAACCCTGGAGAGCGTTCTCAGTGCCCGCTTTGAATGTGTCGACCTCTGACGGGCAGCCGGTCTTTCTGAAGCTCGTCTTTAATTACAGAGAGTGGGCACACTGACCCGTCAGACTGAATCCTGTTAAATACAACGTGAGGCGGCTCAGCTCTTCTTGTCAGCTCAGCTGCTGTGCATGTCTGTATAAATTCTGTACAGAGGGTGTGGCGAGTTCCCTTTGCTGTGCGTTCAGGGCCTCATAAATCCTTTCTCCCCGAGTAGATTTGCTGGCAAACGCATGGTATTACACACTCACTATCTGTTCTCCAAGAAGACTGCAGACAGCCCCAGTTATTGAACACGTAGCCCTTCATGGTGGCCTTTTCTCCAATGGTATTGGCTGCAATGATGTGGGTGGGTAGCTTGTTCCACACCCCCACCACCCTTTGTGTAAAGAAGTGCCTCCTGCTCTCTGTTCTACATGCAGTTCCCTACTGTTGTTCATGTATGATTGTGGGCTGTTACGCTGCCCTCCCGGTAAGCTCTGGTCACCCAGTACCCCGCGCCTGCCTGTCCCCCCCAGGTGATAGCGGCCGAGGGGGAGATGAACGCATCCCGCGCCCTGAAGGAGGCGTCCATGGTGATCGCCGAGTCGCCCTCCGCGCTGCAGCTGCGCTACCTGCAGACCCTCAACACCATCGCCGCCGAGAAGAACTCCACCATCATCTTCCCCCTGCCTATCGACATGATGCAGGCCTTCGTGGGCCCGCGGGCCTGAGTGGGGGGGCGTAGTGCCAGCCGCTGCGGGGGGCGGCGGGCAGGCTGCCCTGGCTGCCCGCAGCTCTGATCTAGATTTTCTGTAGGCGTTTTGTCTGTGAAGTTGTATGCTTTGCTTATCTCAGCCCCCGGGCAGGCGATGTAGTTGCTACTGGTGTGATACCGGCGCAGGAACGTGTACTGGTGGCTCTCCTCCCAGATCCGGTCATTTGATGGGGGCCCGTTTTTTTTTTTACTGGAAAGTGTCCACCCAGCTTGTGGTTTCAGCCCCACCAGGGGGACACATCCAGACAGCAGTCACCCTCTGGGGTTGGTTGATCAGAGGGGCGAGGGGGTCTAATTAGCTGACAGTTCAAAAAATTCACCAGTAATGCTAAAACAATAAAAGGGGGCTATGTACCGGCTCCACTAGTTATAGAACAATAGAAACCCAGCCCACACGATTCAGGGTCCTTGTAAAAATGTTTTTATATTAGGAAATGTATTGTTGTCAGAACTAACGTTTTATTGCTATGAATTGAATGTATTTAAACCATCCAGTCATTAACGTAGGTGTTCACAGAGCCAAACGTCGGAATATTTCACCACGAGCGCCGTGGGTGGCTGTGGTTTCCAACAAGCTGGGGGGCACAGAGCATCACGCGAGGAGCTTGGAGACCGGACTCGGCTGGCAAGCACTTCCTCCCACGTCAGATCAGGCGCATTAACCAGGTAATGACAGGCTTAGTTAAACAGGACTGGAGTTTCAAACCGAGTTTGGAATTTCTTGTTTTACATTAATCCAAAGTAGTGATTTATTAAAGATCCAATGTAGAATGTAGGTGTAGAGTCGGTAATTTAGACCCAGGTTTTAAATGTAAAATTAACGTCTAACCTTCCTTTAGGTGGGTAGATGGAATTAAAATATTCCGCCCTCCCACAAGAAAACAAGTTTCAGACAGAACCATCTCCAGGAACAAGCCATGTGTTTTTAGGATTCAGTGTGCCTTAATAGTCATTTCCCCATGTAAATCGTTCAGAACTTGCTGCATCAAATTAAATGGCGATGTCTTTACTGTAACCAGTCCTGCTCGTCCGTATTATCCCCCATGTCCGCTAATGTACGGTTTTCTCCTATATTACTAATTCATTCTTCCCGTACGTTCTTGTTCGAGTCTGATGTGTTTTATATGGTGATGTAAGCATACCTTCGGAAATGTGATTTTGCCAGCAAGCTTCAGAAATCTGCTGTTTCTAGTGACCCCCCCGTGTTCCTCCTGCCAACACATAATCAATCGTGACTGGAGGAGCTCAAACAGCCCGTGGCTCGGTGTTGTCTTTTTAATCTCTGCCTAGCTGTTTAAGAACAAGTAGCGCGGATTTTTGTAACGCGGATGAAAAGAAAAAATGCAAACGTTTGGCTGTTGAGCCTTCGTCGGGTATCAAAATCACTTTGTCTTCATTCTGTGTAGTTTTAACCTCCATGTTTGAAGCTTTTTTTTTTTTTAAAGGTAAACGGATAGTATCACATACTGTACCATCCACAGAACAAAGGTGATTTTTGCTATTTTTTTATGCTGGAAATAGAACTGGTACAGAACTTTAAAAGGTCAAATACAGTTTATACTCTGCAATACCGACTACAACTTATTCTATATAGCTTTTTTTGAAAAACAAAATGGTAGCAGAACATAAAAAAACTGAGTTTTTATGCCAAAGCAGGTTTTATAAAAAAAAAGAACAAGGGATATTTTCTTCCATAGTTTTGCACTTGTATTAACTTTGAGGTTTCACAGCAGAGGGAGAGACCACGTTTTCTGAGGCTGATGAAATGCATTTCATTTTAAGACAGCATTTTCATTGAAAACAATAGGTATTAATTTCTGTAACCGAGTGTTGCAGAGGTCTTCTTTTAATCCTAGCGGGGCTCTTCAAAGAACTGTGCACTGATAGTGTGGGTTAAGGATTGTTCAGTTTCCTCAGTCATAAATCTTTTTCTCCGATCCTTGATGCTGAATACCATGCCTGGTAAACTCATTAGCACTACCTAATTTTGTAAAGGTGTTCCTGAGCAAGTAATAAATCCTCTTATTAAAAACATGCAATCTGTCTGCAAATTTAACGTTGCCCTGATTATGTGATATGGTTTTAAATATTACTGATGACCTCCTAAAAAAAAGTCTCATCAGCTGTTGAAATAAATTAAGGGCTAAGACCAAACAAATTGTGGAGTATTAAAAATAGGTAGGCTGTCATCTCCTCCTGCACTGCTTTCATTACGAGATACAGGAAATGGGATTTAGTGTTTACACAGTGTTCAGGCCCCAAGTCACATGATCAAGTGTGCAGAGAGTCTGAAGTCTACAGGATTTCTTTCACATTCCAGAGCACAGCTATTGCAGAAACCACCACCCGGTCATCACATACAGTTTTAAATTCAGTGCCAGCTGTACCTTACGAATTCTTCAGATATGAAATACCACCAAGTGACAGGAGAACAAAAGAACAAAAAGGTTGTGAAACTGCACTTCTGATTTTTCAAGTGGAACTGAAATAAAAATGTTCAGAACGATTCGAGAGGATTAAGCAGACCAAAGCATTCAGGTTTTCAAAATTTTAATCAGTTTATAAAGAAAGCGCGGATAAGTACATCACATAGGAGGATTGTATGTGCAAAGAGCTGGCCCTATAACTAATGCACAGCTGAACGAGTCCAGTGCCTGTCGGACACAGGGAGCATACAAGAGGAGTCCAGCCTGTTTGTCGTGACAAAACAGGCGCTCTCCACCGTCTGTCCTCTGGCTCTGCAAGAACAGTTTTCCTTTCTGCTTTGAATCTGACGACATTATGGCCTTTCCAAAAACCTGCTGTAAGATTTACATTGGTACAAAGTACCCATCAGGGACCAGCAGGATTAAGTGCTTGTGTATTATGCGGTAGATTTGGTTAATCCTCACTCATCTCATTTCAGGATAACAGTCAATTTTAGCCCTTAATCTGGGAGACAGTTATGACTTTTCCTATGTATTTTGTACTCTTAAACCGCAAAAGAGACTCAAAACTATTCTCTTGAGTTATTCATACAGCCTTTACAACGAAGATAAATGGTCACCCTTTGCAATGTGTATCCTGATCGTCACGCAGTCTTTCTCTTTCAGTCAGTTTCTACAGCAAACAGATGTATTTTTTAACCCTGGCTACAAAAAGGCGGAGGGGTCATTTTGGACTCTCAGCTAAATGAAAAGCAACCTAAACACAGTCCTGTCTAAAGGCATGGCGGGTGGGGGGGGCAGTGGGTGGAGACTGTAGAGTGGAGGCGGGAAAGTTAGACTGCAGCTCCAGGATAAGGCAGCTCTCTGATTGGTCGGGGTGGGGGTCAGAGGTCAGAGGTCACACCTGCAGGTCAGCCATGGCACGCTCCAAGGGGTCGGTGCTCCAGTAGTCGTGACTCCAGCCCAGGAACCAGCCCGTGAAGGTGGGGGGCTCGAACCCTTGTTTGATCTTCACGATGGGCGTGCGAGGGTCCCGGTTGGCAGGGTCGGTCTCGATGTAGCGGGCAGCTGGCGAGAGAGGGACAGGGAGTGAGCGAGCCTGAGCCTTCCGTACTGTCGTCCTCCTGAAGGCCACTGTCCCAGATCCTCAGGAAACTGCTAAACGTACCGCTGCTCTCATCACCCATTTAAATCCCTTTTAATGTGCTTAATTTGCCATACAAGGGTCAGCCAGCAGCTCCCAGCTGGCAGCCAACTGAAGCCCAGCAGGTGTGAGCCTGGTCAGTACCTGGACAGGACACCTCCTGGGAAAGCTGAGGCTGCTGCTGGAAGAGGTGTTAGTGGGGCCAGCGGTCTGCGTGGGCCCTAATGCCCCAGTATAGTGACGGGGACAATATACCCTAAAAAGGTGCAGTCCTTCGAATAATACGTAAAACTGACTCGCTGTGGTCATTAAAACTACCAGGGCATTTCTCGAAAAGAGTAGGGATGTTAACCCCAGTGTCCTGGCCAAATTTCCCCCTGGTCTTTACCAGTCATGGCCTCATAACCCACATCTCTGAACTGGCTCCATCACTCTGCTCTCCTCCCCACTGAGAGCTGGTGTGTGGGGAGCGTACTGGTGCATCACCCAGGTGGGGCTGCAGGGGATCCCCATTACCTGTAAAACGCTTTGAGTGGAGTGTCCAGAAAGGCGCTATATAAGTATAAGGAATTATTGTTATTATTAAATAACCAATACGAGGCAGGATGGGGGGAAAAATGTCATTAAACAACAACAACAACTGCTACAGATATCCCATCACCTGAAGCCATCGCCTCCGTCTTCTCTTCTTCCTGGGCTTCGTCCCCGATCCACACAAAGACCTTCAAGAGGAAGCAGAACAGTTAAACAGCGCACATTCGCAGAGCAATGCACAGGTGCTGCAGTACTCCACAGCCCCTTTAGAACTGTGGCACCAGCAAGCCCCGATTTTAGCTTCAGTTTTCCCTAGCTGCGCTGTCTTCAGCACAGCCAGGAAGTTATCATCCTGACTCGGATCACTGGGGAAAACGCCGCCCGAGTCTCGTTCACGTCACAGCGCTGATCAGATAAATCGAGCTCGCCTCATTCTATATCGGGTCCTTTTTTTTTTTTGAGCTCCCTGGAATGCGCTTACAAAAACCGGAGTCCGGTTTGTTACCTGGTCCCAGGTGTCCAGAATCATAACATCGTCAGTGGCCAGGTCTTCCTGCGTCATCTCCCCTGGCACCTCCTCGATCTGGGGACAGCAGACACGCACAAACACGGAACATTTACTTGGCATCCCAGCCCACCGCCCTTCGCTGTTGCCTCAGTGTGGGTGGGCTGGGTTGCTGCAGACCTCACTACAGCTTCGGACACTTCGCCTGCACTGGGATTTTTTGGGGGGGACTTCTATCAGTCGAGATATGTTGATAGATTTCAGGTTTGTGGTGGGGCACCAAGTGATCGCGCCCATTAACTGTACTGGGACCAGTGACCCCCTGTGACTGTGGGAGCTCTGGTACGTCACCGCTGATCCATACCAGGGTGACCTGTGGGTGTTCGAAACCGACACACCAGAGCAATCATGAGTTTGCTGTTATGAACCTTCTGTGGAGTCAAAAAGCAGTCTCTTAAAGGAACTAGCTTTGAGCACTTCTTCCACTTGCATAAAAATGAGCACTTCTTGTAGCGTAGGTGCATGACTGACTAGTCACAAACAGTCTGTCACTCTACGGAAAAAGAAACTTAAGAGAGAGCCAAGACTGAGGGAGAGTTGAAGTTAAGTTCAGGGAGAATGGATGTAACTGGAAATTTGTTCGCACCAATAGTAGAAACTGCAAGGATCTTTCAAATCTAAACTTGCTGCTTTTGTAGAATGACTTCGGACCTTATATTCACAACACTGGGGTTTAAGTGTCTTGACTGGAGGATCCTAAGACGGTAAGGCAGTGACAAGAACTGATGGGCTCAATTTCCTGTTCTGATCATTAACTTGTCTCGTGTTCTCACACAGGGGAGAAACACAGGCTGGCCGCTGTCCTGTGGGATATATCCTGAAATGAGGTCACTGCTCTAACAATGAAATTTGTATTGATTCATTCAAAAAGGCCTATACTGATCAACCATCGAAGTCTTCACCCGAGAGATGAATAATGTCCTCTCACCAATCAGGCCCTCTCCCAGAACAGTGAAGCAGCACTGCTTGTCTTTCAACATGCTTGTGAGGCAGTGATTTCACAATCTATGCACTACCCTTCCTGTGCCACAACACTTTGTAACCACTCTTCAGTTTTTAACAAATACTATTTCTTACACAGTACTGAGGGTGTTTCATTCAGACATAAGTCTAGAGATTCTTACCCATGATGTATGTTTCTAACTTTTGAGGCACTAGAAAAAAATAGAATTTCTTGTAACGGAATTAGAAAATGCAGTGGAGTTATACGGCATTTAAGAGAAAAACCAGACTAAAGGCTGTTCTGTAAAAAGCATGAATCATATGTTCCTCCATTTACTTTTTACTGCAGAAGTTACCTTTAAAATATAGCATAAAATGATCTTTCCTATGACAACAAAAAAAACATAGGAGACCCCTTTAAGTGTTAGCCTCTTGGACGGTAGTAATGGAAAATAACTATCAATAACCCAGAAAGGGTTTTAAGAAAATGTCAAATGTGGTTTCAATAGTGCATCCCCTTAATTTCGCAACACAATTTCGAAATTCAAACTGTTTCACCAGCTAACCAGTCTCACAGATGATCAACTGGAACACGCGCTCCTTCTCCTGTTGGAAAGTGCTCATCAAAAGGCGCCCTGGTGGGTCTGCAGCACGGTGCACTTCGGGTGAAATGGGACTTGCTAGGAGTTGCTCTATTTGCTTTCAGAAAGGGAATAAGCCAGGAGACTGCTCTAGATTCATGAAAGCGAACAATCTCGGGGTCTCCCTCGTGGCGACACGTTCTCGAACGGCGCGATAAGAACCGCGAGGCGGGGGAAGACTCACAATGAAGCGCCCGGTCTTGTTGGAGCAGGCGAAGAGTCGAGGTGGGTGAGCCTCCATCTTGTCCTTGAGCCTAGCAGAGGTGCGGTAGTCCGCCTTCCCTCCGAGAGCCCCCCAGAAGTCATCTGCGCCCCCGGGGGGGTGGGGAGAGAAGAGGAGGAGGGTGAGGGGGTGCACAGCGTCTACCAGGAGTCTCCCTGCGCTCCTCAGCCGCAGTCTTCTGACCACCGGAAGCAGCAGGGGTCTCCCATTATCCCAGGAGACATTCCTACAGGATCAGCCTTAAAGCTGGCCTTGTTCTGCCCCGTGCTGAGGGGTGAGTTTTAATGCACCATCATGTCTGTGGTGTCCTTACTGCAACAGAGCCAGCTTCGGATTCCTTTCAGGCCTCCTCCCATTATAAAGATTTAACCTAAAGAGGTTAACACTGCAAGCTTATACTACATATTTTTCTTTGTACTTTAAAATCCCTCTGGTTTTAAAACGGCGGCCAAGTAAACAGGTCAGTGTTGACTCTGGGCTCTTTTCACACGCCTTCATTTTCCGTTTCCTACCAAGTTTACTCCCAACTGGCAATTCCGAATTGGGAGGAAATTAAGAGGGATATTATTCTTATTTATCTGGTTGACATCTTACATCTCTACCTTTTTACAGAACTTGACATTTTATTGAATATCAATAAAATGAATGAGGAGAGGAGAGAATGAGGATGCCTTGCTCAAGGGTACTGCTTGCAGTTTCGAGAAAAACAGAGGCTAATTTAAGAGCAAAATCAGGGATGTAGACATTCGGTTGCATGTTCTGTCAGTGTTTCGTGGGGTTTATCCGTTTTCTAAATAAATGGCGTCTCTACATTGTGTGCAGTCCTGCCTTGTGCCCTTGGCGTCTAACTAGAAACGAGGGCTTTCTGCTGAGCCACAGCCCTCCCCAGGACTGGTGAAGGATGAAGATTTAGTGGAGGAAGGAGTAGGGTTAGTCGAGAGCAGCCCAGGTCTCCAGTCTTACCAGTCTCTCCGCCCTCCGCCAGCTCAGAGGCGGACACTCCCAGAATTCCACACAGCTGCTGGGCTCCCGTCTTCTCCGTGCTGCTGGCCCCCTGTCCGACCCACAGGAAGGAGGCACCAGGGGTCACCAGGACAAAGGCATCGTTGGAGTTGAGGTTGGAGGCTGTGGTGTCAACCTAGAACGAGAGACCGCGTTGTAGTCCTCTCAAGCCCTGGTGGTCCTGTCTAGTGCTAGGATGCAGCAGACATTCAAAACCCAATCTAGACCTCTGTACCGGCCTGAGCCGTGACAGTCCGCAGTCCCGGCCAAGCAAAGTTCCCGGCTTCCAGGCCGCAGAGACGATCACAGAGCGCCGGCCCCGTCATTGCAGACTTGATTAAACGATGCAAGATGGAACGAAATCGGACTCACCTCCACAGCCCGGGTGCACCCTGCCGAGCTGGAGCGCACCTGGAAGAGCCGCGTCTCGGCAGGCGCCGTCTGCCCCCCCTCGCGGGACGTGCCCCCCTTGTACACCACCATGGGCTGTCCCCCGAAAAGGCTAATGAGGTGCGCCGGCTCCTTGCCCTGGACGACCCGCACCTGCAGCGCAGAGAGACAGACGGGCAGATGACCGGAGGTGAGGTAAGGAGCACAACATGGGGGGCCGAGACTTAAGGAAAAGGGCTCCTCAGCCCCAGGAGCTGCTAGGTCTCTGCCCTTTGCCAGCTGGTGTCTAGGTGTTGTGAATCTCAGGAGATTAAGACAATGACAACGATTCAATCAAAGGCCTGTATTGATCACCCATCTCCGTCTTATCAACGATCACCAGAACAGCGAAGCAGCACTGCTGGTCTTTGAGCATCTTTGTGAGGCAGTGATTTCACCATCACAGCAACATGCTAGATGTGCTGTAACACTATGTAACCACTCTTCTGTTTGTAAGAAAGACTAATTTCTTGCGTAATGCCGAAAGTATTATGTACGGAAAAGGGTCTAGCTGGCCAGCTAGGATTCCCTAAGCGTCAGGCTGCGGTTTTGGTGGGGTGTAGGGGGCTACCCCCACAGAAACTGCCGGAATAGTCTGAATTTGGGGGGGGGGGGCGACACAGTTGATCCAGACACAGTCGATCCAAACACTCCCATCCCAGCACTCAAAAACATAAAAAAAAAACATAACAGACTTGGTGAGAAAAGGCAGACAGCACACCTTCCTCATGCTGGCGTGAGCATCAAAATGGCAAACTGATTCAATTCATTCAGCTATCATTGGGGGCAGGACAAAAAAAAATAATCCTCCAACCTTAAAACCACACTGGCAATGAACAAACGGCGTGTTCTGGATTTAAAGATTCAGAGCGCATTCTTCCTAACCAGTGAAGTTTGTGATTGAAGTTTAAATGCAAGCACTAGATTGATCCTTTCTCAGCTCCCTGTCTGTTGATCAGCCAGCTAAAGGCTTGAATAACAAGTTTACTGAAGCATTTGTAGGGATTCTATAAAAGCAGGATACTAGCGTACAGAATATCCCTGTACAAAAAAATCCTTTGCTCCGAGTGGCTCTCCTGTCTGCTGCACTGCTTTTATAGACGTGGTATATAAAAAAAACTACCCAACACCAGCCACTAGGTGGCTGTGGCACCCCAGTTACGTGGAAAGCGAGCAGAGATGATGTTGAGCTGGTCTAGAGACAAACCCTTCTGTGGCTCTGGGATATCCTGCCAATTGATACAGGAATGTCTCATCAGCAAACGGCTTTAAAAAAAGAGCCGATTCCTCTCTTTCTAAATCCGGCTGGCTGCCTTTTTTGTTGCTGTCCAATTAAATGTGTTAATGTACTGTTGCTATAGATCCTTGAGCCCTAATCTCTTGCTCCTTCCAGTGTACATCTCTGTAGGGGAACAAAATGACCCATGAAGCCTACAGAACTGGACAGTGCGGATGACGTTAAACTCTTAGCATGCAAGCCAAATCTGCTGAGCACTCAGTAGATCTATACGACCTTTTGGCAAGCACTATTAAATAGGAGAAAGTATATATATATAAATTAAAAACAAATGCATTGCATGCAAACATGTATATTAGTATTTTATCTGTGCTAAACCTGCTTTCTGCAGCACTATACCAGAGCATATTTCTGCACCTGATATTGTCCCTCCTGTGATCACACTCCTCGTTTCAGAGACGATCCTGAGGCTTACTAGTGCATCTGTGGAAGGGGTCAGATTTTACACAGCTGGACACCTGGAGATCTCCATCTGGATGCAGCTGGATTTCCCTTGCGGTGTCCACTGTGCTGGGTTAGTCGCACTGAGCTGTGAGCTGCACCGAGAGTCATGCAGTGTGCGAACCGCTCAGACACAAATATGTGTGCAGTGTGTGTAGAACACTTCCAGGGACAGACAGATCCAGGGGTCTGAGCACGAGCTTTATAAAGGGCACTGAAGACAGCAAGAGGAAAAAGAGGGAACAGGCACAGTCTCTCCTATAAGGACGTGAGAGCAGGGAGAAAACTCAAGACCAGCTGTACTTCAGCCAGGCTAGTGCTGAGAGGTCCCTGCAGTGGGCACCAGGAAACAATCCCAGCACTGGCTTTGATCTCTCAGCTGTTCTCCCAACAGACACGCCCTGCAATCCACTGTGAGTCACAGAGGAATGTATAAACACAGAGCTAGAGGCAGGAGACTCAAGGTTTCTCTCTGTACAGTCTCTACACAGAGGAAGGCAGCCCTCTGCTTGCTCTCACCCCTGCCATGATCTGACAGCACTGAAAGCACTCCTGCAGTCAGGCGGAGAGCTGATGCCAACAGTCCCTGAATGCTCTAAACTGGCGACTCGGTTGAAAGGAAGACAAAGGGTTACACTATTTCTGTCCTGCTGATAGTCATCTTCAACTGTCCCTAAACCTAAGCAGCGCTGCCCACGAGCGGGGCGTTGGTGGGATGATCTCAGCAGCGCAGGACCCGCAGGAGGGCCGCCAGTCCTTTTGGACAGCTCTGCCGTGCTTCCCCCGCGATCCAAAACAATCCCATGCAAGCGGACCTTCGCCGCTCGGGGTCTGGAATGAATCCGCACGGCGGCACCGATCGAACGGTCGCCCTGGACTCTTGGGAAAAACACGGGCCCACTCTCTCGTGAGTTGGCAAACCGATGCCAGGGCACGCTCGGGCGCTGCCGGAGAACACGCCTGACAGCAGGGCTCGGAAAGCACAGGGCCGAGGAAACGGGAGACGGGAAACGGGAAAGAAAAGAACGAGCGAGTGAGCGAGATCTCTGCCCCGGACTCTTTATAAAGCCACGCAGCCCCTGGAACAGGCAACAGAGAAATACCTGGGTAGTGATACGAGCGCCTTTGACCTGCAAGGACAGAAAAGCACGGGATGAAAGAAGCAGGGAGGGGAGGAAACAACTTAACGAAATCGGACCCCTCCGCAGAGCAGACTTCCGTGTGGAAGTTCTGTTTTTCCAGCACAAGACCCTGCAGATCCTAGCCGAACCCCTGAATGGTCCATGGAACCGAAGCCCACCCTGGTAGAAGACAACCACGCCCTCCCCCCATCTCTTCCTGCTTGTCTACTTGCCTGGACGGGACCCCCTCCCAGCGCTTCATCCAGCTGGGCCGCCAGAATGGCCGAGGCGCCGATCTCGTCCTGGGAGGAGTCGGACCCTTGCCTGCGGAAGACGCACACTTCCTGAGCCGGGGTTTCAATATTCCCCACTTCGCTCCCCCCCCCCCGCTGCTGGCCATGTGGGTTCCCCAAAGTTTTCTGGAAACGGTTTCCTCCAGGAGGAGGAGCTGCGGGTTGCTGCACTACCACGGTGCGGCAGCGAGCCGGTCAGGTCGCAGACACCCAGCCGGGCCGGGCCGGGCCTGTACCGGGATGGGGGACACTGGAGGAAAATGGGTCGCTGCTGTGGGCGGACATTGCGAGGCAGCAACGCTAACCACTGCGGGACCGTGTCACCTGCCTGCTTCGTCATCCATGGGATAAAGTAGGCGATGCACTGATGCATAGATTACAGATGTTGTAGTCTATGGCGTTCTGCAAACACCAGCCACGCCTGGAGAGAGAGATCTTGAAGGAGAGGAGCGACGCCTCACCACATGTAGATGATGTGTCCCTGCCGGCCGCCGTGGTTGTAGTTGTACAGGATGATGTAGCTGTCTCCTCCGTAGAACTGCCCGTAGGTGGAGGGGTCCACCGGCACCTTGTCGGAGCCCTCGATCCTCCAGATCTGCAGACGGAAGCGGATACGTTTTATAAAACGTGGGTTTTGCCAATCCCCGTCACCATGCCAACTTAAAACACACACACACACAAGCAGACAACAGGAAATCGGTGTCCTGCGTGCTGCCCGCGCCTCACCTGTTTCTCGCCCGAGCCGTTGTCCACCATCCCGTGCTGAGCCGCCATGGCCGGCGAGTCGTGCAGCGTGGAGGCGTCGAACGGCACCTTCTCGATCTTGGCGATGCTGTTGGCCACGTAGGCCACGCCCAGGCCCTCCGTCTGGTACAGGTCCCGCCAGTTCTTGAAGAACTGCTTGAACAGAGGCGTCTCCCCCATCTCGGGCAGGATCTGAACCTGACGTGCGCACACGGGGGGAGGGAACGGGACTCAGTTTGCAGCAGTGCAAGGCGAGAGAAAAGAACAGCGATCCGAGGATACAAGAAACACGCTCAACATCTCGCACAGAACAACCGTTCGGCCGAGACGCACAGCGTGACCAGAGAGAGATACGTTGGAGGTCTCCTCAGGAAGCTGAGTCCCGGCTTCAGTCTGAGATTTTTACTGAACGAACCAGTGGGGGCGGCTGACAGGAATCGAAGGGTTTCGAACAACGCAGTTCCGCAGAAGAGCCCCCGTGGGAGGCAGCCGTTCACAGCCGGACTGACCTGGGTGTGCTTGGGATAGCCCATCTTCTTAATGAACTCATCGGCCGTCTTCAGGGCTGCCTTCCTCTCCTCTGTGTTGGCATCCTTACCTATCGGGAAAGGGTCTTAAGTCATTCCCAGCCGCGGACAGGTCTTCCCACCAGAGAGATGGTCAGGACCCATTCCCTGAAAGAGCCGTAAGGTTCTGGTTCCCACAGGGAGACCCGAACATCTGAGCCTGGCAAGAATCTCTCATGGGGACGCGTCAACATGTCCACGTCCTTCTCCAGACTGCAAATGCATTCAGGCAGAAAAACACAAACTGGCAAGCAAACATTCGATTCCCTCTGGTTTCTCATTAGAAGGGGTACTTTGAAGGAGATGAAACCTGAAACTGAATTCTCACAAAATCTTTAAAAAAAAAACAAACAACCATGAACGCATCAGCAGTAACTAGAGCTGGTTCAGACACGGTTCGTTCTTGCCGAAGCCCGCTTCCCCTCTCTCCGGCCCGGACTGACCTTTCCAGACGAAGATCTTGCCGTCGGAGCCGTGGTCCAGGATGAAGCAGTCCCCGGACTCCAGGGAGGTCTGGGAGAAGGGGTTCTCGGCGGCCACGAGGGCGACGGCCATACTCCCACTGGCATTGGACACCTGCAGGGGGAGACACCCTTCAGCGCCGGGCAAGAGCAGGGTCCCCCACATGCCGGGATTTTAATTTGGGGGTAGGGGAAGCTTCTGCCTCTCAGGCGATGTGGAGAAAATGGCTTTTCTTAATTGCAATCAATTACCAGAGTAAACATCTCTAGAAATATTTACACAACAACACAGGGCTTAGGCCAATCTGTTGTCCCACTATAAGGCATTTAAATAGGGAAATTTCACCTTATTCTTGTTAAAAAAGGGGCAAATATATGTAACTATAAAGCTGATGTTTTGCTATAGCCTGATGTTTCAGCAGACCAGCTGGCTTTATTGTTGGACATGGGGTTAACCAGCTAGGGAGCACAGCGACTGAGGTGGCTCTCCTGTCAGTAGCAGGACGTCCATCTTAAGAAGGCGGGGCGTTCTGCCCGTGTCGGTGGCTGTCTTCACTCTCACCTTGTACAGCTTCGCCATCTTCCTGTTGGATGCATCGGCTTTGAGGTCGTCAGCACCTCCTTCGGGCAGATCCGGCTTCGGTCCCAGAACCTGAGAGAGGACAAAACAAGACTTCATCTTGTCCCCCCTCTTCCCCGGCCGCCAGTGCTACAGTGATGAAGGCTCGTCATCTACAGACCGCGTTCCACCCCTCGCGTTTGACCTGTCCCTGGTCACAATAATCGGCTTTGGGGCTTTTCCTTCGATCCAGTAATCAATACCGAACCGTTTGAGGTGTTCACTGAAGAAAGCCACCCCAGATCAAACTCCAGGAGGAGAACTCCCAGCCTGCGCATCGCCGCGCCTCACCTCCAGCATCTTCTCGCGCTCCGCGCCCTCATTGCACACGTAGACCTGGGCACGCCCGCTGCGCTCGTTGTCACGGATACCCTTGGCCACCTGGGTGGCCTTCAGCTTCTCGAATTTGTTGCTGTTGGAGCCACACCACTGGTAGACCTCCTAGAGCAGGGAGAGAGGGAGGACTCGTCAGTCCAGCCAGCAGCAAGAGAAGCCCTGCCCTGCTCTGGATTGCGGGCTCCAGCTGTACACACGTCATCTCCCCCCCCACAGAACAGTAGCCGTCGCCGGCTCCTTACACTGCCCAGGTCCAGGATGAAGCAGTCTCCCTGGTTGAAGCTGTCCCAGCTGACCGGTACTTCCGTCGCCCTGATAACACGGCGACCCTTCACCTGCAGCAGGCGGTGGACGTTGACCTCATTGGTCACCACGTGCCTGAACCCCGAAGCCACGCCCCCTTTCTGGAACGGGACAAAAAGAGGGCAAGATTGGTCCACCGGCATGCGCTCTGCCGTTTCCCGAAATTCATCAGCACGCGGAATTTCAAATCCGACGCCACCTCGATTGTACCGACTCGAACCACAGGCGAGAAACCGATGACCGAGCTGGCTTGCCGGCCACTCTGGGGGCTCTGGTTTCCTCCCATAGCCCAGAGGCCTACTGGTAGGTTAACTGACTGCTGGGAAAACTGGCCCTGGTGCGTGTGTGTGTGTGTTAGTGTGCGTGTCCGTGTGCATCCTGCCTCATGCCCACTGCTTGCCGGGAGAGGCTCCGGCCCCCCCGCGGCCCTGTCCTGGATCAAGTGGTGAGAAAACGGACAGAAACCCCACGGCGGCACATTCAGAGGGCTCAGTTCCTCACCATGTATTTAATGCCGGATTTGAAGTACCCCAGGAAGGCGCGGGACTCGAACCCCTGCACCTCCCGGTACTGGATGGGTTTGCCGCCCAGGTAGTCGTCCATCTGCACCGTGAAGATGGCCGCCGCCCCGCTCTCGTCCTGCGTGCAGAAGTCCCCTGGAACAGTGCGGCGAGACGCGGGACTCAGCAAAGGTCAACACCCCGAGGGCCAGCCCAGACAGACGTCTTGTTCTTGACCGACACTCTCAAGAACGAGAGCTGGTCAGGGTAGGTTACGTGCCTCTTATCTGCTCAACCATAGTCAGGTGTGCTCCACCTCGGTCCGATTTTACACAGAACTTCGACATCCTACCACAAACTGTTCCATTGCAATAGCCATCACGTGGACTGAGATAATTACACATCTGCAGCAGAGAGGAGCTGCATGAATATTTGCTGCAGCCTCTCAGGAATGCTGCCGACACTCGCCTGCGATGTTTCAACACTCTTTCCAGAACCCAGTGATGTTTTCCCTACAGATACTGATTTTTAACTCTGCATGCAGATCACGTTGGAACGTTTCTGCGGTGAAATGTCTGCTGCACAACCTGTATTTATTCGCTCGTCCATCACATTACGTCAGTCGTTGTAGGGACTAGTGAGCAGGAAGGGCCGCATCACGTCGCCAGCTCGTGGGAACTCGAACGCGCGTTGACGACAACATGGCAACTCGCCAAGTTCACGCTTTTGCCTTTCACTCGAAATTGGTCAAATTTTGGGAGAGCATCAATTAATTTAATTTTGCTACCGAGACACAACGACCGGTCTGGTACCCAGGGCCTCTGCAGTGCTGCCTCACCGAGCCAGAAGTGCAGGTCGTACTGCAGCTGGCCGGAGCGCTGCTTGATGGTGTTGAGGACGACGTACGCGTCGCCGGTGTAGAAATCCCCGTACAGGTTCGCCGGCACCGGCACCAGGTCCATCTTCTCGATCCTCCACACCTGCAGGCCCGCCTCCTGCCCGGCCCGCTCGAACTCCGGGTGATACACCATCCTGTCGGGAACCACAGACCGCCATCAGCTCCGCTCACCGGCTCCCTCTCCTTTCAGTGGGGTTTTATTTACAGCAGTTCGCTGGTATAGATGTCAGGCTGATCCAGACCAATAACTTACCTTAGAATCCACAGCGCAAGAAAAACACACAACAGTGGACTTCGTGTAGAACTAAGGAGGACACATTTTTAACCAACACATGTACAATTAACTACAGAACACGTTAATTTAGAATTTACTGACACCATATGGGCTGTGGGAGTCAATACACCTTTGGGGTAAATGCATTTCTCAGCTGCCAGTCGGAAGCTGCCATGTTTTTAACTGCAGGGCTGCTCCCAGAAACCCCTGCTCGGGTGTCGGGGCCAATATTCACTAGAACACTTCAAGTTCCTGCAATCTCATACAGCCAAAGGGACGACTCTAGCGTACCAGCTCGTTACATAATTAATGTGGAAATTGGTTTTGGAAACAGAACAATAATAGGAGCCCATTTTAACTAGTCCACAAATCTTAATTTCTTGTGTACCCCGTTTAAAATTGAAATGCTGCGGCAGTCTATAATGCAGAAGCTGCCGAATTTATTTTCCGCTGGATGATTGCGATCTCACTTGTGGCGCGTCTACAAAATTCTCAGTTTCTGCACGTTTAAAGATTTTTTGGACACGGTATCAAAGTTCACCTTAACATCTCCAATAGTACGGAAAGAGAACTGCGGCACATTTGAAGTTACCGATTTGGTCTGGAGTCTGCAGAGCACTGCTGAGAGGGACAGGTGTTTAAATAGTGTAATGACAGAGACTGGAAGGGAACAGTGGAATAGGTCTGTTCTGCAGTACGGAGGTACTTCACAAAATAGTCTGAAAATAAACATGCTAGCTCGCCCAGAGCTTGCTCTTCATCACCACCACCAACTGCACTGCGCAGGACCTCAGACAAGCAGGTAGGCAGGCAGGCTTCTGTTCTGTTGGGGGTCATTTGCACATGCAAACACACTCATGATTTTCAGATATCAATGCAATGTTTCATCTATTTACTACAATAACTATCACTATCGGATAATAATACAAATTGCATATATTAATCTTTATAGGGAATGGAATGAGTGTAGTGAGGACATGCCTCAGTTATAATGTAAGTGGATTAATATTCACAAAAACTCCCTCAATGACTAACTACATTGCACCACACCTGTAACCTGAGATACTGCTACTGTGAAGGACTGTCTTCCATGCGGGAGGGTTACATTTACACCATAGTCTATAAGCTGGCAGCATTCCTTAGCCATTGCCTGAATTCTCTAAGGAGAGTGGATCTCGGTTTTCAGGGATACTAAGAAAAGTGATGAGTTAAAGCAAATAAAAATGGACAACACCTACATCCCAGAAGAAAATAACACTGACCCCCCCCCCAACATAACCTTTTACAGTAATTCTTAAATAGTACAGATGTGATCAATACCCCGCAGGTGTGCATTTGTAATAGTAAGCCTTTATATTACAGCATGCAACAAGCACAGTGCAGGACCACTTGTAAAGTCTCTGCAGAGAGAAAATCACCTGCTCTCAAAAAAACACATCTCTTGCAGCGATCGAGAAGTTCAGAAGAAACAGACAGCCACTCAGCGAACACTCAGACCTTTTCACAGACACAGCCTAGAACTGGTCCGCCAGCTTACTGATCGTTGATCAGTACTGATCAAGACCATTCTGGTGCAACAGTTCTACTTTCTGTCCAAAGAACCAGTCTGCTCAAGTGTTGCCTTCACCCACATCCCTGTGGCACAGAAGACATGTACAGTTCAATCTTCTTTCCACTGAATGGCATTAGAAAGTGGCTGTTTGTTAAAAACAACATTTTCTACTTAGAAAGCCAACAGTTTGCAGTTCTAAAGGGAACGGTCCCTTCTGCTGTCCCCTGACTCAGCCAGACGTCAGCACAGACAGATCCCCCCATCCCACAGGCTGCTGTATAAATAGCCAGTCACCTGACCCCTGCAAGGGTGAGGCCTATACAGCTCATCGGTAGAGGAAAATGAGAGAGCGCAGCTCAAAACGAGCCATGCACAGTAATCTCCCAGCGAATGACTCAGCCTTACTGGTTTCCAAAACACGATCCCTCTTCCCCTGCCCTCCACACAAACAGAGAAAGACCTGGTTCTCCTATTTGAATCGATGCAGGCAGGTCTGCAAAAAAGTGGAATCAAGAAACAAATCCTGGATCCTAATTTGGGTTACTGAGATGGGCCACATGGCTCCGACAATGAAAACAGTCACAATGGGAGACTATTTACATCTATTTTGGACAATGTAGGGAAGCCGTTAAAAAGGCAAACAAAATGTTATGATATGTAGTTAAAAGCATAGAATTAAATCTATGACACACAAGAAAGGTCTCATTTTGGATACTGCATAGCTTTGGCCACCCTTTTCTTGTGGGTCTAGGAAAAGATACTGCTGCTCCGGAAACTCCCCACAAAAGAGCAAGCAGATACATCCCAGGGCTCAAAGGAAAACCCTACTCTGAAAGGGCTGAAGGAATCTGTCATCTTGAACAGAAAGGCATGCAAGGGGAACTGACAAGCATTCCAAATCCTCAAAGACAACTGAAACCCCTTCGCTCACTTCTTTACTCAAAGGGTTGTAGGTGTCTGGAACAAGCTACCCAGCTGTTGAAGCTGATCCAGCTGTTTCTTTAAGGAAACCAGGGTTTGAGATCCTTGGGCTTTCCTGCCCTTGCTTAAACGAGTTTTCTTGCTTTTTCTCCGTGCTCTAAGACACTGTACATGCTCAAGGATGCGCCTTTTTAGAGAGCAGACAAGTGAATCCCCCCAGGTATTCTGACTGAACTGGTTCATAAAAGCAGGTTTCTCACAGCCGCGTTCACATGCAGCCAGCAAAGCTCCACCTAAGGCACACCTACTATTTAAAAGACGAAACTGTTCATTGCACCAAACCTTTAAACCATGCAGGGAATATACTGCTTCTTCTCCGACACCTCAGGCAATGTTTAAAGCTCAAATGTAAAAAGACACTGTTAGCTTAGAAGGATTTAAGCTAGTGTCAAATACAGGGATACATTTAGGGCTGAAAGTTCACTATGCTGTTCTTTTACCAATTATAAAAAACACTGATACCCAGGAACCACCTTTTTCCCTGGGGATAGAAGTTCCATGGAAAAGATATTGCATATGTATGCATTTTAATACAGAAATAGGAGAGATCTGAGTAACTATGAAGTTTATTTCTGGTCTGGGAGGCAGAGATAGAGATGATAGAAGACAAAAAAAAATCACTAAAAGCAAAGGCGTTTATCACTTAGCAAGTTAAGTTTAGAAGAAGCTAAATTTGGTCATACTTATTATGTGATCTGTAGCTTTTAATCATGGGAGAATAACTACAGCATTGATTACACTGATCTACAACTTTTCCAAGCCCTGTCCTTTAGATTTGGCATTAACTAGGAATGGTGAAGAAGAGTGCTTTCAAAACATATAAGCCTTTGTCTAAATAATACAGATATTCGGCATTTTACTGAAGTTGTGCACATTTTTCTAAACCACGTTTCCTGAAAACCAGGAAGACACATCTTCAACTCAAAATTAAGATCTGCCTAGCTGGAGGTGCCTTTCACACATGAACAGGACTAAGTGCACAGTGCAGAGTTTCAGCCACAAAGACACTACAGGCAATTTCGATGTTTTTAGAAGTAAATGCTAAAAAAATTTACATATTCACCTTTATTTTAAAGAAAGCTACCCGATGATTTGCCTCCATTTCTTTTATGCAAAGTTATAAGAGGTTTCATGAAGCTCACAGGCATTTCTTCCCCATCTGCCTACCTTATAGTTACTTCTATCCAAATTACTGTTTGTACAGAGTAGTAGTCATGGTATGACTCTGAGCTCAGGAAGGTCACATTTTAACTGGAAAGATCTGGAGTTGTGTACCCTGAGTCGGGGATCTGAAAAACACTTGAATAGAAAGCTAACTGTCGATGGATAAGATACTTTATCATACAAGGGGTTTACACACTGCTGACAGAACCAGCAGCAAGAGAAAGGAAGACGAACAAAACTGAAAATGGTTCTTTAGAAGGACAGGGACACAGAGGCAGGGAATACATATTTTAATCCACAATTATAGATTTGTTTCAGATCCATTTACCACACGTTTCGAGCCCCACCAAAAAAATAATGCCTGCAAATGCGACATCTTTCAGAGCATAACGTAAGGCGCACAGAAAACCTCCTCAAACCAGGTTCCTGCAAGCCAGCCTCCACACACAGCTGCAATCCCATACTGCACAGGATGAGGAGCGAAACTGCTCACCAGACACTTAACCAGTCTGGGCTTCACGCTTTGATCTACAGTCTGTGCGGAAGAGAGACAGCAGGATCTCTCATTAGTGACTCAGCCTCTCCACTTAAACATTTCATTACTACGACATACACAGGACTCCAGACTCTCTGCCTGTTTGCTAAAACCCTTTCAGCTATTGTGGTGCATTATGACAATGCAGACCACTGACATTCTGACAGCATCTCCAACCGTGCCTGTCCTGAAGCTGATCAGGCGCGGGTGATCCCCTGAAACTCGCCTCGAGTTGGTATGATTACACATTCGCCGGGCCTCTCTTCCAGCGCACACTATGACTGCTAAGACGAAGACGTTAACATCTTAAGTTCACGCCTCAGCCACCAGAAACCTGCAACGACGATGCAATTCAACAGCTGACTCACGTGAATCGTTTACTGCTGGGAACCATGACTGAACTATTTAACAGTTAAGTTATAGAAAGCCTAATACTGAATTACTTTGACTACTTTATTTACTTCCGAGCTTACTTTTTTTTTTTTAATCGCTCAGGCAAGAGTTCTGAAGCACAGTGAAAATGAATGAGCAGTGTGGTCCTCCTGCATTCTCACCACAGCCTTCAAGAACTCTAGCTGAATTCCAGTATTACAGAAGAAGCATCACCAGGCTCTTCATAAAAATCACCCTAACTACTACAAAGGCACGGTGTCATTATCCTTTGCATCACATTGATCGCATCCAGGTTGTGTTGCAATTACACTGGATAAATAAAACAAAATAAGGAAGTGGCACCCAGAGATGTCAGGCCCCACCCAGAGCTAGCACAGTTCCCAGAATATTGACAGAAGCCCAAGCTCAGGCCTGCGGTATCTCTAAGATCTTCAGAAAGCAGACACTCTCATCCCGAAAACCGTCAATGGCGTCAGTCCCTGTGTACACACGCAAGGTGCCGTGTGTCGTTTCAGAGCTCAGACATCGAGGCGCACAGAGTAAATGGGGGTATGAGCAGCAGGAGCGTACGCACAGATCTAGGGCCTGTTTCACTAGCTTGTTTTTTTTCCCCCTCCAGTTTTGGCAGAACAAAGTTTTCCGCTCGGCAACGCGTGGGCGATGTCCAGAGCCCTGCAGCCCAACAGGCTGTTTCGCAGACTTACACCTCGGGCTCAACTCGGAAGCGTCAAAAGAACGTCCCTCATCCGACGGGATTCGCAGAACAAACGTCGACATTTCAGTCAATTGAACCTCAGCCAAAAGACAGAAAGGCCAGGACTTTACAAAAAACAGTAAACACGGTAACAGTGCGTTTCTGGTGCTGGGAATGCTGGGGGGGGTGATTTAAGGCTGACACACACAAGCCCATTGATCGAATCAAAGCACCACACAGACGCTGAAGCACGATGGGATTAGCTGGGGACATTCCTCTAGGCTGACAGCTGCTACACCCACAGCTGACCATAGAGGCGACAGTTTTCATCTGTCTTTGGGAGAAACACACCCAGTTTGGCAGACTGGCCTCGTGCCAGCCTCAAAGGGGTAGCTAGGATATACAGATCTGCCAGGATAAAATGCACATCCGTGCGGCAGCCATGCAGGAAAACAGCAACCCACAGCCAGTCACACTGGGGGGGGGGAGTGGAATTCATGACACCTTGGATATACTAAAAACCCACATTTGCACTTATACAGTACATATCCTCCATTACAGGGTATTTAAGAATCCACTCAACCACTGATCATTGTCAACAGTTTACATCACACCTATCCTACCGTGTTCCGTTCATCATGCGCGATATGTTATAATAATAATAAAAAACATTATTGTATATGGCGCCTTTAAAGGTGGCTTCTCAAAGTGCTTTACAGAACAACAACAATTAAAAAATACACAAGTTGTGCACAGTGAGAGGAGGCAGTAGATGGGAGTATTGAATGTGGCAGGAGCAGAGGGGTAAACAACAGAACCAATGAAGTAAAGACTCTTCTAAAGAAGACTGTTTTGAGTCTAGAAACTATATATAGTTAATACTATATCGCTAACATGCACTTACTGTTCTTATAACTATACAGCTTACATATACTAAAAACACATTTTAGCTATATAGTAAAGGAACAAGTAAAGGTTTATTCCCTACTGAAACGAGAAGAAAACAGCCAAAACGTTGTTCTTCTCTTTTCAGCCGGGAATAAACCTTTACTTGTTCCTTTGCAGCCTACGCATGCTGCTGCTGCTGCCCACCTGAACTACTTTAGCTATACAGTTATTTGTACGACCTCTCTCCCAGTTTCCCCCTGTCATCTGTACAATAAGGAAGCTTCCCAAGTTCACAGTGCCCATCCATGGGGTTTTTCCAGTTCTTTTTGTACCGCCTACACTGTCGATGTGCACAGTTTATGGAACCTGAAATATGTGCTTGTTTCCCTCCTCATTTACTTCTGCGGGAGGTGTGTCAAAAACTGTTTGCTCTTGCTCCAGGAAATGGTTTACAGCTCTGAGTAGAAGCAGCTATGCAGCTAGGTCAGAGTGTTATCAGTTTTCTGAGCACACGCCTCGCTCAGGTACTGTTTGACAGGGCGCTCAATGTGATTTCTGCCTCTGCTGAACTGCAAAAAAAAAAAAAAGCATTTCCTTTTTTTCTATTCTTCGTGATCAAGTATGAATCCCAAAATAACTGCTGGAGGACTCAGGCCGTAACATTCTGTAGGGTTTATGACTCAGGCTGTGTGTTTTCCTGTGCAACAGCTCACTAACTTATTTTAACTTGGGGGAAAATCAATGTAACTAATGCCGTTACTTCCTGCCATCGCCAAAACACTACGGTCCAAAAAGTGGCCTGTGTTTGCTTGTGTGTGCATTTCCATGGTTACCAAACGAATCACTATGGAAAATATGTTGTATGTTTCAAACATAGCATCTATGAGCATTTAAAAAAAAAAACCTGACTCATCTGACTTATTAACACAACGCTGGCTCTAGATTCTTAGATTATCGATGTATACTCCAGCACAGCTTTTCTCACTTGGCCTCTTTAAACAGGGAGAAGTTTTTTAGCATTAGGCTGGTGGCTCAGGCCTAGTAACTCGGGGATTCTACAAAGCTTCAGAAGGCGTAAATGACCAGACCTGAGAAAGATACACACTGCCAATACACTGCTTTAGGACAGGACAAAAACCATGCAAAGTACAGGAAGAAAGTGCCAGACCTGTACTTCATCCGCCACCAGGTGCTGGAACTAATCATGCATTTTCTACACTTAAGTACCCAAGTATCGCATAATAGCGAGGTTTTCTAGAACACAGTTCCGTGAACACATGGTCTAGAAGTGAGAATGCGTGCTACTCAATTTAGTTTTGTATGGACTTTGATAAGGAACCAGTAACAGGTTTGCTGTGAACAAAACGCCTGCAGTACAGCGTGCGTAAGCCTTTATATCGGCAGGTAACTCGACGGGAGAAATGCCCACCGAGAGCGGATACAATTCCGTGCTCAAGGGACAAACCTGCCCCACCTGGGGTTCGTTCACTTTATCTGGCTGAAGGCAACAGACAGGTAAACGGCTAGAGCGGTAAACTACAACATGAACAGTTTATATTAATGTTACAATGTTTTATAAACTTCAAATCTACAGTTTATATTTTTTTCGGGAAGTTACAAAACCGGCACGCGTGTCAGATCTTTATATTACGACTTCCACACAGTAATAAAGCGCATCTCGTATGCAAACAACTCTTACCCTGAAGAATATTCCGGATTGCAACTGCTGGTACGGTTTTTCCCCCCTACTTTCGGTTTAATGCGAGTTTGTTAAGGCCCATATATGGGAATATTTGCGCCCTGTTTTCAAAACAGTAGATCCTGCAGGTTTTTGTCCCCTGTGGGTTCAAAAAGCTGTTCAGATAAGAGGAGATCAATCAACCACAGATGCTGGAAACAAATTGCACTACAGATTGTTCCATACCTTTATGAAAATACCACACGATGCAAACTTGAAGCATTTTAAACCACGGACAAAACATAAAGCGCCGCCTTTAAAACTCTATTAGATAAAACTTCTTAATTGCTATTCATAAAAACATCAGTCCCGATCAAAGTAGGCGTTTGCCGAGGCGTACTGATTTCTCTTGATGGAAATAAACTCGCCACCGATTAAAAAAAAAAACCTGAATCTGTGGAGCTAGCCTTGGACTTTATCAAAGGCAGGAAGAGACTTGAACCCCAAACGGGTATCGAAAAAACGACCAATAACTCGTATCTCAACAAGACTATCAGGCTGCTGTTCCATCGCGGACTTCATGTTGTTTTTTATTATTGCACGGTTCTTGCTGCAAATAAGATTTGTTTTTTTTTTTTTACGAAACAAAAGCCGTGCTATGCGCGCAAATCCTTCGTAAGACGTCATCGTTACCTGAAATGCAGTGGGGCTGTCGGTCAGCGTCGGGATCTTTGGGAGAGAAATCGCCTTCTTGCTACACGGCTAGAAATCTCTGGGCACGTCTGGTGCGTCCGGCCGGGGCGACGCCCTTTTGAGAGGCTGTGCGCTCCGAGCCCTGTGCCCACCCCTCGCCGGCTCCCAGACCGCCGCAGGACGAAAATAGCTCGCTTAACCTCGCAGGTCGTCGCTGCAGTCTTGACAGAGGCTCGCTCAGGAGGCAGACGCACGGTGCTCGTACAGTGCAAGAGTCAGGGTCCCCTTTCCCCCCACAATAGCAACAGAAAAGCCTTGCCTGCCCTGATTCCAGAAGTGTGCTCCCCCCCGTATGGATGAGTGCGCACACATGAAAGCTTCATAAAACAGATGGCGTCTCCTTTGTATTGAAATCCAAGTACGCGATTTTGATGAACGTGTTGAATCCCACGATAAATACCTGGGGTTTTTAATGCTTTTCTACATAGATCATTGTGCCTGCAACTGTAAAAAAAAACAACTAAGCACTGTTAGCTTCGACTGATCCAGTCATTAAGGCTCACATCCGGATTTTTCACTACATCCACCCTTATCAAGTACTGACAAGTAAAGGCAGAAGTCTTCCAATGTCATAGAGGCGTCTTCTTTCAAGTTATCTTTTTTTTTTCCACAGCTTCCGAAGTTTTATTCTGAAGTTGTTGGGGTTTTTTTTTCATCACACCACAGTGGCTTTTCAAACAGATCTTGCACACTTTGCGAAATAGAGGCATTTTGTTGCGATAACTGTTTACAAAAAAAAAAAGATTAAATGATTCAATCTAGGCGAACAAAAGGCCAGACCAGTATAAGAAGCACTCCCATGTTGTGCTGATATACTGTATATGATGATGAAGACAAAATTACCATGACTGTTATTTCAAAACCTGCCGGTGGTCCACAAGTTAGAAAAGGATGATTAAAGGGGTTTATAAGGAGGTCATGACTGGTAAAGGCCAGGGGGAAATTTGGCCAGGACAGCGGGGTAACACCCCTACTCTTTTCGAGAAACCCCCCGGGAGTTTCAATAACCACAGAGAGTCAAGATGACTTATGACTCATCCGAGAGACGGCTCCTTTTTACAGTATAGTGTCCCCATCACTATACTGGGGCATTAGGACTCACACAGACCCATACTGGTCCCACTAACATTTCTTCCAGCAGCAGCCCCAGCTTTCCCAGGAGTCTCCCACCCAGGTACCGACCAGGCTCACACTGCTGGGCTCCAGTGGGCTGCCAGCCGGGAGCTGCAGGCAGACAGATGGATGGATGACCCAAGATGGGACCCCTGTCAGCAGAGGAGAGCGCTGCCCTGCAGCCTGCTTTCGTACTACAGAAGATGGGAGAAGCTCTGGCCTGATGAGTCTTTAGGCTTAATTATGGACCAAGCACACAAAATGGCCTGACAGGGACGTGAAACACTGACCATCATTTCACGTGAGGCCAGATCAGTGACTCTCCTTTTTCAGAATAGAAAGGACAGATGTGTTGCAGATGTTAGAAGCACTCTAGACACCTCAGATATGTTTTGGTGACCTCATGGTCTTTGGAAGGTGGGAGAAAACTAGAGTACCTAGTGGAAACCTGAGCCAACAGTGGGAAGCACATGCAAGCTTCCCACAGAAGGAGCCCCAGGGCAGAATCGAACCCGGATCCCGAGGGCTGCAGGCAGCAGCAGCTCCCAGCCTCACGGTGAATAAAGGGACCACATCTGAATCAGTTCACAACACTGAACTGAACTCAATCCGTCTTTCGGATGAGACGCAAAACCGAGGTCCTGACTCTCTGTGGTCATTAAAAATCCCAGGGCGTTTCTCGAAAAGAGTAGGGGTGTAACCCCGGCGTCCTGGCCCAAAATATCCCCCTGGCCTTTACCAGTCATGGCCTCCTAATAATCCCCATCTATGAACTGGCATCATCCAGGTGGGGCTGCACACTGCTGGTGGTGGAGGGGAGTCCCCATTACCTGTAAAGCGCTTTGAATGGAGTGTCCAGAAAAGCGCTATATAAGTGTAAGCAATTATTATTATTATTAAAAAAACAGGAGTATTGCAGATCAATATTCTGTCCGGTTATGTGACGTCCTGCAAAGGGTGTATCCCCCTTGCCAACGTTGCCTGCCGGGATAGGCTCCCGATCCCTCGCATCCTGTATCAGACAAAGCCGTTGGAAAATGAATGGATAATATGAAGCCTCCATATCAACGATAAAGGGGGGATGCCAAATAGTTTTATAGCTTGTAATGTATCGCCCTCTGGCGGCTGTCTTCCGAACTACCCAGCCCTGGGTCTCCGACTATGTAATCCCTCCACCCCGGAAGTGACGTCTCCATGACCCCGTAAGGTGAAGACGTGTAACCGAATCGCCCAATCAGGTCCTGCCACCCTTTCAAGCCCCGCCCACCTTCTCCCGCGAGACCGTCTCTGTCTTGTCAACAGCAGCTTTGCCAGCAACGTTACCCGTGAAGAGGGGCGACGGTTTTCTTCCCGGACACATTGAGCTGCTATTATAATAATAATAATTATCATCATCATCATAATTCGCCTTTTTAGGAGCAGGAGGACCCAAGCTATCACAGAACAGGAGGCCAAGCAGTCAGAGGACATGATCACGGAGGGTCTCAGGGAAACAGACTGCAAGTATTGACAGTACGGTGTCCCCGTCACTATACTGGGGCATTAGGACCCACACAGACCGCAGGGTGAGCGCCCCCCACTGGCCCCACTAACACCTCTTCCAGCAGCAGCCTTAGTGTTTCCCAGGAGTCTCCCCTCCAGGTACTGGCCAGGCTCACACCTGCTGAGCCACAGTGGGCTGCCAGCTGCCAGACACAAACCTGCTAACTGGACTGAGACCTGCTCAGACTGAGACTAACTCAGACTGAGGCTGCAGGCCAGCATGCCTCCGGGCTGTGGTGGGGGGGAACTGGAGCAGACCCACACAAACCAGCGAGGAACATGCAAACTCCACACAGACAGCACCCCGGGAACTGAACCCAGGGCTGTGAGGCTGCAGTGCTCAACGCTGAGCTTCACAGGGCGGTGCGACAGGCTGCAGCAGTGGAGCAGAAGGAGCTTGTATCAGGGAAACTCCTCAGCCAGCCGCGGGGGAGAGCAGAAATGTGCAGCCTGCTTGTTGTCCGTTAGCAGGGCTGCCTCGCCGAGGTCCACACCCGCAGCTCTAATCAGCAGTGATGTGTCTGGCCACTTCCTCCTGGCTCCCGCGTCCCAGTCACCCTGCAGGAGCCAGATCTGCATCCTTACCCGGACGAGACCCTGATCCAGAGCAGACGCTGCAATCTTTTGAGTCACTTCAGAAAAACAATCACATCCTCTGAAAAAGAGGCCCTTTCTCACATTCCCATCATGTCTGGAAACTAGATTTATGACTGAGAGGCGTACTATAAAATCAGTTGCTCATACGTGATACCACAGTGTCAGTGTTTATAAACTGGTCAACAAGGTGAAATATTATTATCACTGCCATGTATTTTACTGAAATGTACAACAAAGGTCTCACCTCTTTAATAGAGTTCCTGTGATATTATCTAGTAACTAACTCACGTTATTTATTTAATTTACATGTTCATCACTTACAAAAAACCTCTGAAGGTGAAAGCCACAATAATAATACAAGTCCAGTCCTTGTACTGTCGTTTATTTTGATAAAGATAGGGTTTAATAGTAGAAATACAGTCGAAAGAAAATACAACGCAAACAAGAGTACATACAACATATCAATAACATCGTCCGTTTGACAAAACAGAGTCAAGAGCCAGTAAGGTGCGCACAGTTTTCATTTCACGTTTTTACATTTCCAAAAAGTCCGCCAACACGCCTTCACACCTGTTGTTGGCGCCGTCCTGTAAAGCCCTCAAAGGCGCTATAGAAAATAAAGCTGTGTCGTTAGAGAGATAAGAGATAGATAAGAGTGGATTGATCCCGTAGGGAAACGCTGTATCATCAGAGAGATAGAGATAGATAAGAGTTGATTGATCCCGTAGGGAAACTGATTCATATTATTATTACTTTGAATAGTCCGGGACACAGGACTCTCCCCTCTGTAGGAGCACAGTGCCGTGTCGGTGTCGCCGTGAAGCTGAGTGCACACCGTGCACGGCGATACTTCCGCAGTGCTGCCGACGGGACGGGACGCCCGTGGCCGGTGGCCCGTGGCCTCGCGCCTCGCGCCTCGCGCGGGCGCCGGGCGCGCGCCGCTGCCCTTTGTCCCCCCAGGCCCATTGTGTGTGACGGAGGAAACCCTGTGCAGCGCGGGCCGCCATCTTGGATCGGCAGACTCCTCAGCCCAGGATCGCCCTGCGGATCCCTTCACAGCGCCGGAGCGAGTCGACGCAGCCGCCCTCGGAATCACGGTAAGCGGGCCGGGCCGGACCTCCGGGCCGCCCCGCCGGCGGCTGTCGGAGCCGGGCGGTCGCCTCTGGATGAGAATCTCTCCCTTGCCGTCGGGGGGGGGGGGAGAGAAAGGCAGGCAGGAAGGAGGAGGGGGTGACTACACCCAGATCGCGAATATTATCCGGCTCGGCAAGCCCGTCCGCTCCATTCCTGCACGGCGGCGGGTTCTGCACGCCGGGAAGGTGACTGTCGACGTTTCGTGTCGGTTTTTCCCCCCTCTTGTTTTCGCTCGTTTTGCGGGGCTGCGGGCGGCGCTGGCCGGTGGCTTTTGTTCGGTGTCTCTCTATCCGGAAGAGGTCGGTCTCATGATATTTTGTTTGCCGTTTGAATAAGAGGCGAGGAATACCGGGGAGGGGAGGGGGGGTGTTGAAATATCGAGACTATCGCTTCTCGGTGCCCATCGCACAGGGACTGTCGCTCGTCCGCTGCGTGGCGGCACGTTTGGGGGTCCTGTCCCCCCCCAGTGCTGTGTCAGGGGGCTGGAGCGGCGACACCGGTGCTGATGGAGGAGGCGGGCCGGGCCTAGCAGCTCTCGCCGGGCAGCAGCACAACCCCGGCCCGGCTGGGAGGAGGTTTAAAGTTTAAACGGTGACAGCGTCGGGTGTAATAAAGTGACAACAACACCGGCCGGGTCGCCGGGCAGATATCCGCCCCCCACCTCCCTTCTGCAAACGCGATCTGAATTCAAGCGGTGCTGCTGTCACGGCGCTGGAGGTGCAGAGCATGTTTTTGATTTGTCATGCGAGAGATATGTAGGGTGGGGGGGTGCTGTCCGTGTCGCTTCATGAGCCTCTCCTGCGGTCTTATCAATGCGTGCTTGTGAAATTGTGGCGAAGACGGCGATTTCTTAGGCTTGCAGGGCATTGCGCTGCCCCTCAGTCCCGGTGAGCTGAGACAGCAGGCCCGGGTCGGTTAAGGTATACGGTGTTGACAGGCGTAGCCGAGCTGGAAATAAAATGGACAATGACGACTGTTCAAAAGAAGCGTTTTACCCCCCTTCTGCCGCATTTCTATTGCAAGACCCTGCATGCGAGGGTCTCTTAGGCCTCGGCTGTGTTGTCGTCTCTGTAAAGCCGGTTTTCAATGGCCCGTACTCAGAAGACCAATTTACACAGCTCTGACGCGTTCTTGGCCACCTTTTTGAATGGTTTTCCAAAAGACAGCCCAGGACGAGACGGGTGTAGAAAGAGTGTTATCCCTGGTTTCTTGGATTTTTCTGGATCTCTGTTCGAAATCGATTGATTCAGTTTTTCAGCTGATCTCTAAGCATGATCGGGTGTGTTCTTTCGTGCCTGAAGACAGCCCGCTAGAGTTTCGGCTCTCGGATGCTCAGTGTGCCGCAGATTGTGGTCCGAATGTACCACCGAGAAGGGTTAGATCTGAAAACACGTTTTACAAGGATTTCCAGCTACTTGGTTTTGCTTCTGTCGGCATCCAGGCCCCTGTGGGGTCACCCGGATTGTGTAGCCTGGAGCAGACTACAGTTTCTGCCTGATTCTGAAAGATGGGGGGGGGTTTATTATGATAAAGGTGAAAAACCTAGGAATGAGGGTGACAAAATCTGAAGAATCGTGTGCACGAATCCCCTGCTGTTCGCCCTGAAGGACCTCAGTGTTTTACTCTTGCACACACAGGAGGGGGTGTATCCCCCAGGTCAGGTGGAGAAGTGAGAGCTCTTGAGGATCTGCCGTGGGGAAACTGAAAACATAGCCACCAGGTTTTCACTTGAGGGGTGTCGGTTGGCTTCGTTCCATGTGAGCATGTCAGCCGCTGTTTGGTGGAGATGTTGCAGATAATGCACTGCTGAGTCATGATTTGTAAAAAAAAAAACGATATTTTAAGCCCCTGCCGTTTTCGCAATTTCCTGACCTCATTTCACGTGAAGTCATTTAAAGGAGCTCAGGGGTGCCTGGTGAGTGTCAGGTAGTAGGCCACAGAGGGAAGGAGTGTGTTCAGCTGCAGGGAGAGAGATGGTGAGGTCTCGCTCTTGTTAGGAAGAGGAAGTGCTGAACTGGCAGGAGCTCAGGCCAGGTTGGTCACATGCTAGCATTCTCTATGCTTGGGAGATTCTTATGGCATTTCTCACAGGAAGTCTTCTCCTTTTGCTTGTCGGCAGTGACTCAGTGAGGAACGGATTCTTTGCGTGTGCCGTGTATGGCACTCCAGACGCGTTGAAGTACTTTGTTTGAAAGAGAGAGGTCGGCTAACGTCTTAAAACTGCAGCGATCTTTCTTCTTCTAGTTTGCTTTGTGTGTGTGTGGGCAAAGCACAGGCCCAAATCAGCAGCTTTAAAAAAAAAAAGGGAGCTGAATGATTTGGTATAGTGCACTTTGCACCAGCTTAGCCCAGAACACTCTCGCGGTCCTTAATTCGTCCGTCATGAAAGATGCAGGGGGCATCCCAGGATGATCTCGTTATTTTTTTTTTAAAACTTCATTTTGATTGTGTTTTCCCACAGAGAACCGGGTTACAAAGGCTTCTCAAATATTCTTGCTTGTGGATGCCACACCTCGGGTTCTTGTATGTGTACATTGTTACCATAGATATGACAAGATCACCATTCCACCCAATTATATTACAATTGGGGAAAAAAAACAGGCAGGCATGTAAAATGTACAGGTGAGCTTAGTGACCTTGCCGTGACCTAGGGGAGTCTTAATTTCAGGTACTTTTACCTTTCTGTTAACTTGGGAGGGGGTGTACAATTTCCTACCTCTGGTTAACTTTTACACATTTTTTTTTTAATCAAGACTGTGATGCCCAGATGTAATTCTGGAAAACTCTGTTTGCTGTCTGTGTGGAGTTTGTATGTTCACACGAGTTTCCTCTGGCCACTCCAGTGTCCTCCCGCAGTCCAGAGGCACTGTTTGTCTGTTTACCTTCCAGGGTTAACTGTATACTGTGCCTGTTGCGTGCCAGAAGAGGATCTAGCTCCCCCGCGATCCTGAATTGCATGAAGCAGTTAGAAAATGGATGGTGCTGTAATCTCGCAGTATGAGGAGCGTGTGAGAAATAACTAGTTATGTGACGGACGTAGATTGTTGCTGTTTCAGACTGGGGCGTCAGAGTTCTTGAAGTCACTACAAGGCGCTACGCTGTTGGGGTATCGGTTATGTTCATAAAGATGAGAGGGAATTTCTTCATAAATGATCTTTTTGCTCATGGGTCTCCGTTAGTCGAGAGTGGTTTATAGGTTCTAGAATGAGATAAAACTCTGTTTTGTATGCATGTGTAAATGTAGCACCTGTGTTGAATGGTTTACTTTGAAATCTTTTTTTTGGGGGGGTGTGAATGCTTAATAAGGCACCTTTATTTCTCAATAATAGAATCAGAGAAATGCTTGTAAATGTCAGTGATCTGGCAGCAGTGTGCCAGCTGTGTCCCCTCAGGCGGTTTGCTGTGAAAACAGCCTGTTCGTGTCTCGGGATCATGTATTATTTGCCACAGTGGTGATGATTTAACGCACTCCTTCTGCGGCTGTCGACCTGAAGTGTCTTTATTGCGTTAAACAAACCTCGTTTATCTATCGTTTATCTATGCGACGGAAAGGGGAATTGAACTGTTTTCATTTCCGTGGTTTCAAATCCGATCCAAACCGTCGTCTGGCGGGTCCTCGGGCTGGATCTTATCCCAGTGACTGTAGCGTTGAGCACACTGAGCATGTGTGTGCGTGTGCTGACCCTGCTTGGGCTCAACTAGTGGTTAACCTCCACCCAACCCAGTAACCCTGGTGAGCTGGAGCAGTTGGGTAGAGAGCCCAGTTCAAGGGGCCTTGAGCCCACAGCTCTCCAGCCAGGAGTCTGGAGCCCTGTATACTGCTCTGTGATGCTCCCGTCGTAATATGTTTTTATTCTCTTGTGATATTTTTAGCGTAGAGCTTATGATACAGCGCTGCTGTTCTCAGTAAAGAAAGACAGGCACAGCAAGAGCCTATCGGAGCTCTGGAGGTGTTCATCGCTCGTTATGTAAGAGTCCGTTTTTCACTGAGATCTCATGTGAATCTTTACAAGTAGTGAACTGAAGTCCTCTTGTTCTGTATCGGTGTTTCATACCACAACATTCTTGCACCAGGATTTGGGGGGAAGTCTGTTGGCTCTTTTGGTTACCTCTTGACCTGTCAGTCTCAGTGTTCTGTGCATACTGTGGTTTTTGTCCCAGTTAAAACGGGAACCGAATTCCCTAGCAGGTTTGGCCTCATTGATCCATAGTTTACAGGTGATGCTGATCGCTAATCCCAGAGCCCGTTTGATGTGCACTGCATCCTGGGGTTTGATCATTGAGGCGTGGCTGTGGTTGTATGTTTGCTTTCACTAGTTGATGAATGCAACATCCCAGCCGTATTCTTCTGAACAGCAGAAATGTACGCAGTGTTCGGCAATCCTAACTATGAGATTTGCAATACATTACTGTGATCTATGTAAGATGCATTGAGGTCTCACTGCAAAGGGAGGTATATTGTAAATGAATCATCAACAATACATAATGCTACATGTGTATTAAGTGATTGAGCTATCCAACACTCCCTTCTTTAAGTGTACGTTTTCTTATATTATTTAAGGTTAGCACTTACTTAGCTTTTTCTTCTGTACGCTTTAAAATAGGCTTTTTCCGAAGACATTACTTTGCTTTACTGAAGGCAGTGAAGTCTCAAATGGCTAAATGCAAATATGTTCACTTAACAGTTGGAACTGAGTCCTTGTTGACATGGAGTTCTGTTCAGAATGGACCTTAGCAGGAGCCGAATCACCTGCCGGTGATGCAGTACTGCAGGAGGCCTGGTTTGTTCCCCCAAACAAATGGCCAGTCCTTCTGAAGAGAGGCCAGTCGCCTGGAAGCTCCTTCCTGGAAAGGCTAGTTTCTTCCAGGGCACATGTAGGCGGTGTGTATGTTGCAGGTTTGTCGGGGTGGGGGGAAGGTGAAAATAAGTCCATTAAAATGTAGCAATAACTGTATCCAAGAAGTGTTAGAATACAGGATCTCCGTACGACACTGGCTTCTGGTTTGATGCTTCAGTGTTCCCAGCAGTGGACTAATCAGTGAAGGAGCGCAGGAAACAAGTAAAGTATCTGGTCAGTTCTTTTGTGATCTTCAGACCCGGCTAATTTGTGCAAATGAAGTTGTTTTTTCACATTGGTCTAGATCTGTACTGAAAAAGAGCTGTGTATTTTCCAGTGTCCAAAATGCGCTCTAAAATATATGAATGTTTAGCAAACATTCATGTTGATGAAGTCCGAATGCGATTTACACATGACTTGAGTAAGCCCAGCATATTAATGTAAATATGCCTTCAGCCTTTGTTTTGCATGATGTTAATCATGCACAACACAGCGTTCTTTATATTTGCAGGTGTTTTAAGTCTTCCTATTGGCTGAAATGCTGTTATTATCTTGAGAGTATAATATCATTTGTGTGTCAATCATTATCCTACTTAACTGTCCGTAACGAGCAAAACACCTTTGTCTGCTACTGACATACTGTTTTCATTCATTGTAAATATTAAATGACAAGGGTTTATACAAATACTTTGTCTATTGAACAGTAAGTATTTTAATATACATTAAATATGTGTGTGCTTACTGTATTTGTAAGAATAGGAAAAAAGATAACTTGAGCTGCTGCAGCATTAATAGAAATATTCACTTTGGAAGGTCTCCAAGCGTGAAGGATATTCGGGATGGAAATCTTGTCACATTGTAGCTGTGAACGTCTTCTGCTGGTGTGCGTGCGTGCAAATGAATTGTCTAGTTTTCAGAGCGAATGTAATAACTACAGCAGGGAGGCTCAGAAAGGACTGCTCATCTTGGTCTGAGTTCTCAGGGCAGTGCTGGCTGTCAGAGATGCTATCAGCAATGCAGGAGCTCTTGAGCTGGGATGGGCACTGCAATTCTGCACCAGAAACCTCAGCGTCAGCATTACGGCAAATATACTTCTGTTCTTGCTGAAAAGTAGGAAAAAAACCAAATCACCCTTACATAATAGGATGGTTCGAAATAGTTTTTAACACACTGGGTTATTTTTGTTTTCAAATTTAGAGCAGCCGCTTATTTTCCTAGCCGACTTGATTTGGCCTAGCCGAGTGCGTGCTCGCTGCGTCGCGGCGCGTGGGTACAAACCCTGCAGTCGCACACGGGAGAGCGAGGATGTGCAGCCGCCTGTTCAGCCACTTCTCTTTGAAGATCAGATCACTTGATCGGCCACATACTATTTCGTGCATTAGGAATCTGTCCTTTCGCAGACCCCAGCTTGCTCTCCGTGAGACACACGGACAGGGAGAGAAGCTGGGGGTCAGAGCGCAGGGTCGGCCGTTTATGCGGCGCCCCTGGAGCAGTTGGGGTGAAGGGCCTCGCTCAGGGGCCCAACGGAGTAGGATTCCTCTGCACAGGGAGTCCCGGTCACAGGCAGCCGGGAACACGGCTCGCGTTGCTCACCGAGCCCCTCTGGATCGCTGCAGCCTTCTGCCTGTGATAGATTTGCAGCCGGATAAGTGCTGCTGCTGAGCCGTTCCGAATGAAGTCTTTCGGAATGTCACAGTTAAAGTAATCGGGGTATGCCTTTTGAGTGTTGCTGTTTACCCGGGTCGTTTCCTACCTTACTGTGTAGAGGGTGTGTTTAGAGTGAAGAGGGGTGGGGCTGGGAGAGATGAAATACTGTTGTTAATGAGAGAAGGTGTGCGGAGAAGCCCTGTGATGTTCACGTTAGTACGGCTGGCAGCTGACATTTAGTTCACGACCGCCAGGCAGAAGAGTTGTGCACTGTATGCAGCCTCCCTCACTGAAGCGTGGCAGCAGGTGCCCGGGCGAATCTGCCGTCCGTCTGCCCTGCGGGGGGTGCGTCCCTCCTCTGACTGCCCTTCGAAAGGGCCTGACGACTTCTTGTTTTCCCTCCTCGTAGGTCTAATGGCTTTTTTTTTTCTCGTCTCCTTTTCAGCGCCACCATGGCCACTGCTCCGTACAACTATTCCTACATCTTCAAGTACATCATCATTGGTAAGTGTGCGAGAGGGGGGCTGTGCTCCTGCTCGCTGCCTTTCTCCCTCCCCGTGTGAGCACTCGGAGGTGGACCGGGCTTCCCGCGGTCAAGGAAACCCTGGAATTTCATTTTCCAGCCCATTTTCCAGTAAGCTAGCCTCACGCCTGTGTCAGAATGCCGGGGAAATGTGTTTTCAGTGGCCGCTGGTTAGCAGATGACAAATGCAAAAGCTGTGGCTCCAAAAAGATGAAGACCCAGGACGTGCGAGGTGTCAATTGTGCAGGGAAAAGAAGTTGTGGAAAAGTTTGGGAATTTACTTGGTAAAAATGAGTCAGAACCCTGGGGGTCACAGTTATACTCACTTGGCTGAAAGTGCTTCTGGGGAGGTTAAATTATTTTCTTGCTTTATAATTGAAAATGAACCCAAGTGTGAAATCAAGCAAACTGAAGAGAGCCCCGTACACTTCTAGACCTTGTTTATTCTTTGGCCAGTGGGTGTTTAAAGAGATCATGTTGATGTTCTGGTGTTACTGTACGCTGCGGATGTTGAGTAGTAAAATTGAACTGCTTAGTTCAATTTTATTTCTCATGTTCTCTACACATGGACAAGTTCCCATTTTCTGACAATTACAGATGTCAGCCTCAGTCATATGTAACCTGCAAGGGAACATTAACTTTGTACATTTGTATTCACCCCCCACGCAGAATACTTCTTAAAAAGAAATTTGAATAATTGTTTCATAAGAGCTTTGCGTGAGTCATCATTCATTTGTAGCTGTCAGAAACTGAAATGCTGGCGTTTGGTGGTAGTTTGTAGAGAATGTCAATATGGTTTATATGTAGAGCTTGTTTTTTACTTGTCTTCCAGGGGACATGGGAGTGGGAAAGTCCTGTTTGCTTCACCAGTTCACAGAAAAGAAATGTAAGTAGGCTCTTCGTGTTTGACAGTGACGCCTTTTATGTTTATTACAAGGAGAATTCGTTTTTCGTCTTATATCAGAAAATATGTCCTTGCTAATTTGAAGTTACTTGCTAAAGCACTGATGAGGATGACTAGAGTTTCTGGTCAAACTGGCTTCGCAATAGGATGTTCTTCTTGTGCTCAGTACATGTTGTGTGCTTGTTCTGTTTAGTGTTGTGATGAATGACTCCATGTTTTGTCCATGTTATTGGGCGCTTGTAAAGATGTCAGAAACAGACAGATACGTTGTGACTGCTGTATCTCAGATTGAAAGCATTTCTGTTTTCTCAGCACCTCTTGCCCATGATGGAGTTGTGTGCTTGACGCGTTCCTCCTGTGCACATGAATATGCATTGTTCTGTAATACTCCTGTTCACCCTGCTTATGAGTGATTGTAAACAGCAGCACTTAGGGGTTTTGAGTTCTCCATGACCACCTCCTCTCAGGCTTCTTTCAGAAGGCTGATTTAACTGCACACGAACTTCGGCGAGTGAAACTGGAGTAGATTGATTCAGAACAGGTGAACAGATAACATTGTATTAATTACAGCACCGGGGAGCTTAAGGATATCCTGACAGCCCTGGGAGTAAAATGAAACCGGATACCAGAAAGCAATACTCACCTCAGAGTCAAGCTTGTGTCAGTTTGATTTGAGTGTGACATTCTGCTCATGGTTTTAAGTCCTGAATGGAGTTCCATTGAAAAGTTCAGAGCTGCGCTTGACAAATTTACTTCTCTGTCATACAGAGCCCTGCAGTATTAAAAGGAGCACAGATAATGGTGCATTTATTCCTATTTTCCCATTACGTGTTCAGTCCTGTGTGGCTGTATTATCGGCCTTGTGCGCTGTGGTTTCTGTCACAACTTGCTTTATCCCTATTTCTGTATCAAAGCTGCTGATTGTAAAGGGACAGAACACGGAGTTGTGGGGAAGAAGGAGTTCCATCGAAACGTTTTTTTTCCTCCCCCCAATGCAAAGTTTCTCTTAACCGGACCTTTGTGCCGCAGTTATGGCCGACTGCCCCCACACGATCGGCGTGGAGTTCGGGACGAGGATAATCGAGGTCAGCGGGCAGAAGATCAAGCTGCAGATCTGGGACACGGCGGGCCAGGAGAGGTTCAGAGCCGTCACGCGGAGTTACTACAGAGGGGCGGCCGGGGCGCTGATGGTTTACGACATCACCAGGTAGACCGGAGCCTCTGTCCCGCCCGTGTTCGGCGGCGTGTGGCCAAGGCCCGCGCGTTAATCAGGGCCCTCGACGCTGGGATCGGGAGCGCTGGCGACCGGAGCGCACCCATACCTGTCATGTTCTTTTTCATGAAGGTTTGATACAGCGCAGCATGTGGATTGTGACCCACATTTCGAATAACGAAAACCACCTGTAGCCATTCGGGGGGAAAGGGTATTGAGATCTCTGCCAAATGTAGAGAGAGAGGGGGAAGAGGAAGGCGTCATCCGACTGACTCGCGTGGGTGAGGGCCAGCACAGAGAGACGTGCCACACTGTTCCCCACGTCCTGCTGCGTCTGCAGTTTGCTGTTGTGTGCGCCTTTCCTTTTTGCAAGCATAGTTGTGGTTTAGAATTTATCACGGACCCTAAAGGTGAAAATGAAAATTGAGCGTGTGAGTCATTGCACAAGAAGCAACTGAAATGGTTGCGGTGCAGAACGGTACTTAGGTGTGATTAATGAGGTCCGACTTGGTAAGCAGTGCTTTTTAATACTAAAAACACAGTCTGTTAGTTGTTATTCTTTTGTCATTTTTCAGTGGGGAAAAAGGTCAAATTAGGGGTGACATTTTTGAGGTCCAGAACAGATTGTAATTTTTCCCCATAAGAAATAACAGAAATGGTTTTTCTTGTTACGAATTTTCACTATGCGAAAGGGTTTCTGGGAACGAGTTACTTTCGTAAGAGGAGGTACAGCTTTAATTTAATTATAGGCACAAGCTTGCTTCCTGAAGCAGCTGCTGCTCCTATTTTTCATCCCTCATCTCCTGTATTCCTGCCTCTTTCTCGGCCTGTGTTTTATCTTTAGGGAGACCGAGAGGGGCAGATGAAACTACTGTACAGTGCCCACCTCCTCCCTGCTGACATCAGCAGCACTGCAGGCCGTTTCAGCACATCACATGTGTAGTGTAGATTCTTGTATTTTCTCTTTTATAAATGACTATGGTTTTAATTTCATTAGCTTAAACGTGAGTGTAACTGAAAATGGATGTTACCCCATTTATCTTTGTTTTCAAGGACCACAGACCTTGAAGGGCATGTCATTTTGACTATAGCTGCTGCTCACAGATAATTCTAGGCAGTTTTTCTGTTTGTGAGTGCCCTAATGTTTTATTGAGGCAACGGTAAAAAAGCTGATGGAGAACAGCTGAGGAATCATCAGAGTTGAGTTAGGGAGTGGATGGGGCTGCCTGTTTAAAATTCTCCTGCTGTCAAAGGGAACATGTGATGCTGCACACCTCAGGGAATATATTTCGGATGTACGATTTTTCTGTCTTATCTCATATCTGCATCTCAGTGTGATAGGAGCAGGAGTCTAAGAATCTCGTCCACTGTTTTTTTTCATGGAAAATATGCGTCCGATCCGTTCACGATGACGCTCTGCAGAATAACTGGCACGTGATGTTGCCCTTCCTGCAGTGCAGTACTTTTGTTTCCTTAGACTGTGGACAATGTCCCAGTCCTTGTCATTTCTGGAATTTGATCGATCGATTTGATTGATTGATTGAAATGTCAAGTTAGTGTTTTTGCAAACCGACCCTGAAAGCCGCCTTCATCATTGTAACGGGCGATTTCTTTGCGTTCCCTTTAGGAGAAGCACGTACAACCACCTTAGCAGCTGGCTGACAGATGCGAGAAACCTTACCAACCCCAACACTGTGAGTGGCTCCTCTCTCCCCGGCGCTACAGGGCACTCCTGGCACAGTCTGTCCTTCTCATTCGCATGCTACTCCTACTCACACACCGGTCACATCCTCGCATCGCCTTCAGTAACTGATTATTAAGAACAGGGCTGTGGGGGAGCCAGAGCTTCTCCCTGGGAGCAACGGGCGTGAGGCAGGACACACCCTGGGTGGGACGCCAGTCCACACAAACAGTGTACCAGCCAGCGTGTCCGCCCAGAGGAAACCCCCGCAACACCCGAGGAGAACATGCAGACTCCACACGGCAGAACACAAGTTGATCACAGGACTCCAGCGGTGCGAGGCAGCAGTGCTAACCACTGTGAAACCGTGCCGCCCCGCACCTAGTGTGGTTTATTCATTTAGCAGGGCCGTAGTTGTGCCTGCGTTGTGTACTACACTGTGGGGAGGATACGCCGTGTACACACAAACATGCACAGTTAAAGCGAGGAACATTTGTGTTTGCATGAATAGATGGTGACACATATGGGGATGAACGGCTGAGCACGCCCTTTTCATCGTGGAGCGCGTTCCAAGCTGACGATAAATTTGTTCCGCAGTCAGCGCACAAATGACATGTGAGGATACAGAGCGTACCTGGATTTGACAAGGGAACTGTAGGTGCCCGCGTAGCTGAGCTTCCAAATGCCATCTGACTTCTCAAAGACAGCACAGTTACATACCGCGCCACGGCCACAGTCTGTGATCATGTTAGCACTGGAAAATACCAAGAATTTCCTGTTTAGTGCTTCGGAAAGCAGATACCCCAGCATTATCTGATATCCCGTCAGAAAGTGTAGGAGAGCAACGTCTGGCAGATTTCACTGACATCGCCAGAGCTCAGCTCTCGGAAAGAAAATGGTATTTGTTTTACTTTGCCATCTGGCCATGATGTCATGGATCTGTTGCAGGAGCAGGAGTTCGTGGAGGTACTGGTTTGGTCTCCGAGGTGAAGGTGTTTTGTTGTGTCCCAATTTGTAAACATGGTTTCAGTTCATTAATTTCAAATCCCAGTTTCCACTGACGCAAAGCAAATAAAACAATAAGGCTGTGGAGGTAATAGCAGTTCCTCTGAATGGTTTTGTTTTTCTTGCCTGCAATTCCACAGCTATCTGTGCCTTTCTGTCTTCAGGTGATCATCCTGATAGGAAATAAGGCAGACCTGGAGGCCCAGCGAGATGTGACGTACGAAGAGGCCAAGCAGTTTGCAGAAGAAAATGGTGAGAAGTGAGGACTGTAAAGCCTCGTTCAAAAGGATGTCCCCTTTTTTCTTTAAAAAAAAAATGCTGTTTATAGTTGTTAAATTGCATGACTTTGTGGCAAAACTACAATGGATTTACAAGTAAAGTTCAGGACGCACAATTTCCAGCAAGTGACGTCACGCCACGGGCTTAATTTAAGCTTCTTCTAAGATGTATAAAAGGAATTTTTCACTTTAAATGGAAACTTTGGTCTCCGATGACATACTGAGCAAATCCTGTCTTTCAAATCCCACTCCAGTATATCTAGCTGAGACCAAGTACAGCAGCAGGCAGCAGAGATGGTTACTAAGTTTCATTCTTTTGTGGGTTCACCCTAAGGAAGTATTTAGAGAAAAAGTACAAATTAAATCCACATCTATTTTCTGTAAACTGAATGCCCCTTGTTAAACTGGAACCTGTGCGTACTCCTGTGTTTAAAGTTGACTCATACCCTCTTTTATTTTATAGGTCTGTTATTCCTTGAAGCAAGTGCAAAAACGTAAGTTTGAAATTGTTCTTCAGTAAGCTTACATAAAAAAATTCCATTCAGAGAAATTGTCAGTCACTCATAACCAACTTCTGTAGCTGCAACAGAGGGAAGGTTATGATGTAATATGAAGACTGTAAGTGATGGGAAAGGTCATGTCATGCATAGAAGGGATATTTGTGATTTTATATCAAGGTCTCATCCATTAATACAGAATCCTTAGAACTAATTTTAAATGACCAGTATGAATTGGACAGAAAAAACGACGGATTTTTAAAAAACTGGTTCTGAACCTTTTCTAAGTTCAGCAAAAAAGCAACCCTACTTTTTTTTAAACTGGCAGAATCTTATGAAATTGTTATTGTATGAGTCACAGGTTCCTAAACGTCAGTTTCCAGGCTGCTGAGAACAGAACAGAATTTCTTGCATCTGTGATCCCAGCAAGGTGCAGGAGAGTTTGCTGAGGACCCCACTTGCACAGAGAAAACGTGTCTTCCTAAGGTTCTGTCCTGGGACTGTAGACAGCTGTGCTGTTGAGCAGTTTCGATTATATTGTGACAGTGCTCTTCACTGTCTTCCTTCCCCTGAGCGGGACGTAGATAGGCTTCCAAGTGAGCTGTAATTAAGTCTACATGTCCTCGGACGTTGTGCAGCCTCCCCGGTGCCCTGGCTCAGCGTGCTGCTTCCTTCTAGGGGCGAGAACGTGGAAGACGCATTCCTGGAGGCGGCCAAGAAGATCTACCAGAACATTCAGGACGGCAGCCTGGACCTGAACGCCGCCGAGTCGGGGGTCCAGCACAAGCCCTCGGCCCCCCAGGGCGGGAGGCTAACCAGCGAACCACAGCCCCAGAGGGAAGGGTGTGGCTGCTAATGACCACCCAGCACCCTCCTCTCGCCCCCGGGGTACCTGGGGGGGGGAAGACAATGAGGGGCGGGCTCGGCTGCCGGCTCCTCCTGCGCCCCCTCCTCTGAACCCCCGTCCCCC